CTTCCGTAGGCACGGAATCTTCAATGTACCACTCCTTCCGATTCGGTCGAACGGTCTTCTTTCTTAACGCCTTCCAATTCACAATATCAGCATACCATGGTGGAGTCTCCTTATGAAGTTGAAATAGTTGCGTATCCGAGAATGAATTATGCAATGGAAGAGTATTTTCTGGCCCAAGATATGCATACTTCAAATGAAAGGGTAACGACTTCAGCTCGAGCTCTAGTGGAGACTTCAAAGATGGCATAGGTGGTTCACTTGACAATGGTAGAAGTAGCTCAATATGAATTTTCTATGGTAGAATGTTATGCATATTGGTTCCATCAAGAATGACATTCAACTCTTCAATGCTTTTGTCAACATCAAAGAACTCTGTATCAAAGTAAGACAGACATGTTTCCAGTGGATCTTTTGTCAAGGCAAATGGGGCCATCTCTTCAACACATTCATCGATGGTATCGACAAAAAAACAATCCTTATCTTCTGAGTGGCATTGACTGGCATTGAAAATATTTAAGTGCACCTTCATGTGGCCAAAAGATAAGTCCATGACGCCATTCCTATAATTTATGCTTGCATTTGCTGTCGCAAGGAAAGGACGACCAAGGATCACTGGAATATACCTCCTTCGTTCCGGAACTGACTCGGTATCGAGCACAATAAAGTCCACTGGGAAGTAGAATTAATCTACTTTGATGATCACATCTTCGATGACACCATGGGGTTGCTTGGTTGACCTATCTGCCAATTGGAGAATAATTGAGATAGGTTTCAATTCTCCTAATCCGAGTTGCAAGTAAACCGAATAAGGAAGAAGGTTTATACTTGCACCCAAATCTAATAGAGCTCGCTCTACTTGATGATTCCCTATTGTGCATGAAATTGTTGGAGCACTTGGATATTTGAATTTTGGAGTAGTGTAGTACTAGATTATAGAACTGACTTGCTCAATTAATAGCACCTTCTTAGGAACATGGCTATTTGAACGCCTCTTCTAAGTACACATATCTTTCAAAAATTTGGCGTAAGTTGGAATTTGCTGAATTGCTTCGCCGTCTTTGATGTTTCTTGTAGTCTCTAAGAGAATGGCACAACAACATGCCTTTGCTCAAGAGCTGGCTCAGTAGTTTGAGGTACTTCTTGTGCTTTTTCATTACGCTCTTTCTTCTCTTCAAGTATTTTCTTCTAATTTTCATCATTCTTTGCTTCTTCTTCTTCCACCTTGTTTTCAACCCTCTTACCACTTCTTAAAGTAGTAATTGCTTACACTTGTTCATGGCGAACTTCTTGGCCAGTAATGTCATTAATATACGCACACCTCTTGGATTAGCCACTGGTTGACTAGGAAGCTTGCCATCCTCTCTTCGATTCAAGGTTTGAACTAATTTGCCAACTTGAGTCTCTAACTTGGCAAGGGATTGAGAATGAGATTGCACAAGTTGAGAATGAGACTGGACAAGTTGATTAATTGGCTCTAACTGCTTTGTCATCATTGCCTCGAGCATTGATAAAAATTGTTGAGGTTGATTGAAGGCATTCATATGAGTGAATCCAGGAGGATTTGAAGTCTGAACTTGAGATTGAAAATTGCCTTGTACCTGAGGTACTTGAGGTGGGAGAGCAGATGTCCCTATGACTGGATTTCTCCAGGAAAAGTTAGGATGGTTTCTCCAAACTGGATTGTTAGTGTTTGAAAACATATTACTTCTAGGTGTTTCATAGGCAGCATTAACTTGCTTTTATAAAATTTCTGAATACTGAGCTGCACTTGGACAAATGGACACATGGTGAGTTGGACTAGAATAGAAATAGCACACTTCAAAGCCTTGAGCATTAGTTGATGGAGGAGTAAAATTTGACTGTGAAGTCATCAATTGGTCCATCCTCTTGGTTAATGCCTCTTTTTGGCTCACTAGCCCGTGATTTATTCCTGCTTCATTCACACTTTCTGCTCTCCTCAATATGGTATGAGGTCTTGCTACTGGAGGTAAGACATGTTGTGTAGAATTATCAGATATATTTTCGAAGAGCTGCCATGCCTCCTCTTCACTCTTCAACATAAAAATTCCACCACACGATGCATCCACCATATACCTTTGTGCCTCATTGAGCCCCTTATTAAAAAAATTGACAAGCTACCATTTTGGTATGTCATGATGAAGACATTTTTAAAGGAGGTCTCTGAATCTTTCCCAAGCCTCATAAAAAGGCTCGTCAGACCCTTGACCAAAATGAGTAATAGCATCTCGATATTGAGTAGTTCTCACCATAGGGAAGTACTTATTCAAAAACTTCTGTTGCAATTCAGCCCATGTAGTGATAGAGTCTACTGGCAATGAATTAAACCAGTCTTTTGCCTTGTCCTTCAATGAAAAGGAGAAAAGTTGTAGCTTGAGCACATCATCATCAAAGCTCTGGATCTTTATTGTTCTGCACACCTCTGCAAAGTCATCCAAGTGCCGGTATGAATCCTCTTTTGATAAGCCGTAACAAGAAGGCAGTAACTGAAGAGTACTGGTCTTAATTTCACAGTGAGGGGCCCTCACTTGAGGATACCGTACTGTAGATGAAAAGTTATATGCACCTGGTTCATAGTGATCTATTAGACGGCGAATCGCTCCTGTAACAGCCCTGTTGTTCTCCCCATCATCCGCCATCTTTTCCTTGTGAAGGCCTCCAAAAATTTTCTTCAAGTGTCTAAAATACTCACCTGAAATAGTCAACAGAATCAAAATAAAATAATATCCTAGACTAAGATCCTAATTGAAATTAATTGTAGAATTTAATATAATCTATCAAGAACTAAAACAAGTCCCCGGCAATGGCGCCAAAAACTTTTTGTGAGATTTATATGTACCACTCGCAAGTGCACGAATCTTTATAGATAGGGCTTACTTGTAAGAGTGTCGTATCCAAGGGACTTGTGTAAATTAAGTTTATCAACAGATTTCTTAAATTCCAAATTAACTTGAAAGTAGGATAATTGAATTGTAATGATTAATTCTAAATTAACTAAGTCGAAAAATAAAATAAACTAAAGAACAATGATTAAATAGGATGTACAAAGCAGAGAGAGAGAGAATTAAGGGTATGACTTCACCACTAACGTCGCACCACTAGTTAATTACATTAATTTATTGGAGATATATGATATAACATGCACAAGGAATAAATCATGGCTACAAGCACATATTAATTCAACTAGAAAATAATATAATTTAAAGCTAAGCATGGACTATCTTTGATTGGTATAAACCATCTACCTATCTACTTTACTCTAGGATGTAGCATGGTCTATCTTTCCATCAAATCTCTAACATTATATTCAGACAAATACAATTGTGTAATCATCTCATTCACAACTATAAGAAGTGAATGAGTTGTGTTCAATTACAAGATTAAAATATCTAAGGCAAGATAGAAAAATATTTGTAATTGAATTAAAACTCTAAAACCGATTCTTATTGAAAAATCAATTAAAAATCCTATAGATTACACAATCATACATGATAAAAATTGTTCTCCAATAATTAAATACAATCAAACCAGCGTGCTAAGTTAGGGCTACATCAAAACCCTGGCAAAGTGTTTAGCCAAGCATGACTGGAATGGAATTCTTCATGGTTGAGGAAGACATCTTCACTGCCATGGATTGATCTTTTCTTTCTTCTGAATGCTTCTCCTCTGATCTCAGCCTCAAGCTCCTCTGTGTGATGATTCAATGCTGTAGAGGACTCCATTTAAATAATAAAAGATCAGCCCTAAAGTTCCCTTTTTCATATAGAAGAGATACATAAAAATTCTGTCAAATAAGGACTCCAAAATTCGTACAGACTTTCAGCCCAATTTTAACAAGGTAAACTGCTGTTTTATGGAATCCTCATGAAATACAAAATTGTAACTCTTCGAATTTCCTTTCAACCAATACAAGAATTTAGCTGTTTTGACACTCGAGGAGAGAGATACCGCCAGATTACCAAAATGGGTTCAATTTACCAACTTTGGCGAAAGTTTCATTTTTGGAGAAGGATTTCTCCTTTTCTTTTTCTTTCCATTCTCATCAACTTGTAGCTTCTTTTGGACAATTTTCCAAGTATAATTAGACTTGGATCTTCAACATTGCTCGATCCCACGGAATGTCATCTTTTAAAGCTCAAAATCACTGATCTTCACTGATTTTACAATTAAAGTCCTGAAATAAATAAAAATAATAAAACAATGTAAAATCACAAATAAACTATTATTAAGAGAATAAAACATGCAAGTAAAGGGGTTAAAATGTATAACATTCAGCGCCTAACAATATTTGAGGTTGATATTTAGCCAAACTTGAGGGGGTGTGAGTGAAATTAACCCATACATATATATATATATGGATTGTGGAAGACGGCCTCGCCGATTGTTACGGCGGTCTCACCGCTGTAATGCCCCTCCCCTTTGGCTGCGCAGCCTGTAAATTTATCCGGCGACCTCCTCCGGCGCGAAATTCAAATTCAAAGACTGGATTTGTTATATATGTATAGGTTCGAACATCTTGAGAGAGAGACGATGCAGGGCTTTGGTTGAATTTGTTTTTGTTTTTGTTTTTTATGAGTCCGGTTCTTTGGGAGGTCTGAATCTGCAATGTTGAGCAACCGGATGGTAACACTGAAGAAAGAGATAATTGTGAATACTATTCCCTATTATACAGAAGATATACAGTTGCCAAAACACCGAAAAATAAAAAATAAAAAATAAAAAACACATTTTTTCATTGGAGTCTTGCGAGAGGCTATTCCTAAGACCTCGCTCAAGTTACAAAAACAACCATATATATAACATGACATTACGTCGCTGCACTTGGTTCAATTGCATTCTGATGTACCAATAAATTGGTTCAATTGCATTCTGATATACCAATTAATTCATGTCGATAAGTGATCACACAAATATCATCAAAATATTCAAAGTAAAACGAATGGAGCAATCTGCAATACTACAAGAAATTTGATGGACGAAAATGGGCCCTTAGAAAAACTATATTTTGTTGTTATTCATGCAATAATGAAGATTCTATAAGAAAGAATGATCATAACTACAAGCGCCATTTGGCCTGAGAGATATGTACAGCTGCTTTTCCTCCATCAGGAAAAAAAATAAAAATAAAAATCTCATCTATGATCTAACAGTTAATAAACCTAGTAAGAATTTACTATTGCATTGTCATTTTCAAAACATATTCAACTCCGAAATGTCATCCAAAGGTATTTCAAGGCCCGCTGATTCATGATCTTGTAAACCATCATCATCGAAGTTTAACCAGGAAATGAGATCCTGAGGCCCACCAAGGTCCGCGCCAACACCAAGTTCTTCAAGGGAGTCTAATTCATGCAAGTGCAAATTTGTAAAGTCCATTTGTTCCTTCGCCTTCTTTACTGAATCATTAGGATTTTTACCAGGGGACATCAAACCAACTTCTCTTTTTTTGTTGCTGCAATTCATAACTGGTTCATCACTAGAAACACCAGCAGCTGATGGGTACACGGGTTGTGTTGTTTCAGAAAATTTACTGACATGTTCACTTCCTGATATTGATAGCTGAGCGGTCTTCTGCTTGGTCTTTGTTTTCGTTTTACGCTGACCCTTAACATGGCCTAGCAATGGACGGCCAGCTTTGGCAACAGCATTTCTGGTTGAAGTATCTTTGCCCCTCTCTCTCTCACTTCTCTTTCCTTTTGTTCCACCCAAAAGACTGCTACCTAAAGTTGATGTGGCTCTCAAGGCAGCGCTCCCACCAACAACATCAAGTGATACTTCCTTCTTACCGCGGTTTGATATTGGTCCATTTTTGGCAAAATACAGATCAGACTGATTGGTAGGGGTTTCAAATCCATCTAATGAACCCCCGTTGCTCTTATTATCAATATCACACCTCTCAGCACTACCAGGAAAAGGGCCTGTAAGAATAGATATCCCATGCATTAAATAAACCATTAGCAAATGTATATCATTGAGAAGTAAAATTAATAATATAAATAAATAAAAATAGAAAAAAGACTCCCTAGCGAAAAACCTCTATAATATAGCATCCAGCAAAACTTGGAGCATCAAATCAGATAAATTGCCAAAAGTGTGCAAATGAGATTTAGAGAATAATGATAAAACTGCAAAAGGTATTATTACTTAACAGTATAATAGCATTTACTAAAGTAACAGACCTGAGGCTATGCGGTCTGCCTGCAGGTTACGAGATTCTGGATGTTTATCATTAGCACCCTCCGAAGCAGGACAAGTCAATGTTTCTGCCTCATTGCCCCGATGAGGTGCAGCAAAAATGACATCCCGAAGGGCTGGCTCACTGAAACAACTTGTTCCTGAATCTTCAAATTTCCGACATTTTGCAAGAGTCCTCTTCACAAAAGCCAAGGCAGCTTGTTTTGACACCTTAGCAACCCCACTTCTAGAAGCACTACTTCCTTGAGTGGCCTGGTAAATTTAATCAGAGACATTTTATGGTTTAAATTACAGCAAACCGATAGCTTTCACGCAACGAAGATCGGACTATGCAAGGAAAAAATAGAGACAAACAACCACACTTGCAAATAGAGAGGGCGGGTGTTAAGAGTATATAATTGTTCACTATACTTTTCCCAATTAAAATGGTGGCTGTAATCCACAGAGCCTTATTGCATTATAGTTAATATTTAAAATGACATTGGAACGAATAGGGCATTGAACAAACTATTTTACATTACCCCACTTCCACTAAGAAAATGTACATGCAACAACAATAGTAAAAATCCTTAATTTGATATAAATCATCATCATTTTTGCATTTGTCCCATTCAAATAGGGATTGCCACATGAATTCTCTTTTTGCAATCTCGTCTATTATAAGCCATTTCTCTTAGAAATCCAATTTCTTTAGATCAATTTTTATTATTTCATCCCAAGTTAATTTTGGTCTACCTCTTACCTTCTATTTGAACTAATGTTCCTCTCTTTACCTGTGCATATTTTAGAGAGGTTTCAAAGGGCATATAATTAGATATTACGTTGAAATTAAACAAAAGACAAATAAGAAGACGTAAAATTAGAATATAATATCTAATTTCTCAATGAATGATATTTAGATGCATGATCAATCAAAAAAAATCAAAAACGATTAAAACAAACAACAACTCTAACAGAAAATTTCATAGATGGATATGATATCTTGTTCTAATAAAAATAAAATAAAATAAAATAAAATAAAATAAAGATAAGGCAAAAAGGGCACAAATAGAGGTCAAAAAAAGCAAAATCAAGAAAGAAGACAGTATCATTTCACAACCATAGAAAATGCGTCTTCCTAATAATGTTTACAGAGGATTACAAAATGGGATCTCTGCACAGCCTTTGCATAAAGCAAGGACAGTAGTCCGATTGATATCATGATGCAATTGGTGATAAAATTTTATTTGAATTGATTTGCATAATCCCCCAAAATTTTTGGGAACCAAACTCATAATGGGTCCTCACTTATCTCCAGATATGCTTTATTTGCACATGTATACAAATAGAACATGCTGGCTGACTTATGCGTTTTTGAAAAAAAATGGCTAGCCATTGCCGCACAGCAATGAATGTTACCAACTCCACAAATAAAACACAATACTATTTCAACAGACTCCTTGTCTCAAATGCCTGAAAGTATTGTGTAATAATATGCTACATTGTTCCAAGGTAAAATAGAAATTCAGCTAAGACCTCTCCGGTCCTCAGCCTACTTCAACACCATTTGCTTGCTCGAAATGACTATAGATACAACTGCAATGGACCAACTAGACACGACCTGATTTTTCCCAGTTTTAGATAGCATGTTTTCAAAATGTTGGGTAGGGTTTATGTTGAAAAAATCGCAACCTGAATCGAATTGCTTCTGGGTCAAGTTAGGGCATCAAGTAACCCAAACGCAACCCAAAATTGTCAACCAGACAACCAAATACTAACCTGAATATATATATATACACACTACATATGTGGACAATTATTAATATACAAAATAGTATAGTTCATGAGATTTCATTTATTTGTTTAATTGGTAAAATTACTAGTTTCGAAAGTCTTTTTTAGTACAATCATAAATGCGAGGCGAGAGATAGTCCCAGGTTGTTGTCAACTAACCCCTACCCAATTTTCAAGTCAAGGATCCCAACCAGAACTCAACCTGAGCTCAATGATTTAAGCATTGGTAGAGCTCTGTTGGGAAGCACGGATTGAATGGTACAGCTGGGCCTGATCCCCAACCCTTCCCAAGTTCGCACTCCTAAACATTCAATCTCACGACAAACTCATGCAAGGTAGAGAAACAGAAGAGGCTTATTGGTAAAGGAAAAGATTAGAAGAGTACTCGAGTCTGGCTTTCTAGTTTCTAGTAATCAAGTTAAAATACATGCTATTTTACTGCTGACTTGAGACCACTCTCACAGGATTAGTAATCTATCCAAAGGGCTAAAATCATGGGTTTCACATAAATCAAATCTAAAATTGAATAACAAATATATATATATATATATATATATATATATATATATATTATAAAAGATTGGAAGATATCATACCTAATCTACCTTAATATCTAACATCAGATGCCAAATAAACTCCAATCAAATTTTACAAATTAAGCCTCAAACTGTAGTTTTAGTATAAGAGGAGTCCATTGGCTCCATTATTGTCAAAGTTGAAGCAATTTGTTCAAAGTAGATATAACTCTTTTTTTTACTTTTTGGTAAGTAAACTGCGTAGAAGTATTAACATTCTTTCACATTCAATTTCACTGATTGATAGAAAATAACACAATTTGATAGGTACACCAAAAATTCTAAACATCTAAAGTGATGATCTATGTGGATGGGTGTGATGTGGGCAAGGACTGGCAAGCTACAGGGTGTCATGATCCTACATCGCCTGAGAAAGGTGAAGTGCTATATGTAAGTTCTACACCCTTCTATGACACAACGTGTTTTAAAGCCATGATGGCCGTGAACCCTTCAGAACTCCAAAGTTAAGCGTTCTTACTATAGAGTAGTACCAAGGGAACCCCTGGGAAATCTCTGGTCTGGGGGAGTCAAAAACAGACAATATTGTGTCTGGGTAAGGTGCGGGCCGTTACAAATGGTATCAGAGTCGGAACCCAACCGGAAGTGTGGCCAACGAGGATGTTGGGCCCCATGGGTGGGTGACTGTGACGATCTTTGTGGCCGGGTGTGATGGGGGCAAGCACTGGCAGGCTACAGGGTGTCATGATCCCCCATCACTAGGGAAAGGTGAAGCGTCATATGTAGGTTCTACACCCTTCTATGACACAGCGCGTTTTAAAGCCGTAAACCCATCAAAACTCCAAAGTTAAGCGTGCTTACTATAGTGTAATACCAGGATGGGGTGATCGGTGACCCCTAGGAAGAATCTAGTCCGGAGGAGCTAAAAATGGACAATATTGTATCTGGGTAGGGTGGGGGTTGTTGCATCAAAGTACATACAAGAACATTTGCATGGTTTCTGCATTATGCTTCTCACACCATTGATATATGTAACAACAACTTTCTAATTTTACCGAACATTACCATGTGGTTGTTCATATGGAATTAACGCAAGGATGATGATGTTTGTAGATTTAAAAAAAAAACACCCAACTTTGTAGTTATAAAATAGGTTAATAAACCTTAACTATACATGAGCAACAATACGAGCACAAGATAGAATTTATAATTTTGGAGGAACAAACATAAAAGAGACAATAAATAAAACAATTACCAATTGCTTCTTGTAAGCCAACTCAACAAGTCTATTCATTGCAACCTGCTCAAGCTCCCTGCATGATAATCATGTTATATTTAACTCAACATAATTCAAATAGACAAATTTGAAAGTAAGCATTATAGTTAAAAGCTTAAAAATTCTAATATCCAGAAGATGTCTAACAGTCAAGTATTTTACCATCTTTCCATCTCCCTTCCTTTGTGAATAGCTTTACAAATTCTGTCTAAGCACATCTTCTTTTTACCAATCTATGGAATCAAAACAAATAAAGGACTTGCATTTAGTAAGATATCACAGATAGATATTATGGCAGAACGACATTTGAAAAGAGTTGTACAATATTTTACTGAAACTGAACTTATAAGTTTCTGCTCGAGTATAGGCTAATAGATATATTTGGGGAAAGGAAACATGCTTTGATGCAAGGTAACACTGGCACAGCAATACCTGTTGATGAAGTCCCTTCTTCAGCGCGACGATCTCTTGATTAATCAATTCATCCTCACTGTCATCTAGATCAGGCTGTAGAAGGCATTGGGAGGTAGGAAACAAAAAGGCAAAAACAAAAACAAAAATCAGAGAACTGGGTGAAAATAATATTCATCTGCAAAATTAGAATGCTGAGATCAACAAAGATAATCTGCCATTAAACTCACAACCAGATGAGTAACAACATGAGAATGGATTTCAAAGATGAGCCTCGAAAAGTGATTGTTTACAAAGAATAAAAAACAGGAGGAGGAACTAAATAACAAATCCTTTGATGTAATAAAGGGGGAAGAGAAACATAAGTTACATGAAGATTATCTATTAAATAAGTAAAGCTCACCACTTTATCTGGATATAAGCCAATACTCTGCAGCTCCAGCAAGAGCTTATCATCCAGACACATCTGCTCATGTTGGCAATTAGAGGAAGAAATGCCAAAATCATTTGTTTGTACATTTTGTGGCGCATACATATCATTTCTAGAGAGCCCAGCCAACATCCCAAACTCTGAACGCACAAATTCACCATCTACATGCAGCAAGTCATCATTACATGAAGGATTTTGGATGCTTGCACTTCTGTTAGAGGTGGTACTCCCATTACAAGGTAAAATTTCATTTACAGTAACTTGTTTCTTAGTTTTAACACCAAGCATTAATTCGCATTCAGAATCCATCCTATCCCTCTTTCTACGTTCAGCATCAATAAGAAGACATGTGTCATATGGCGAGTCATCTGTAGCATATTGAGGCAACACATTCCTTCTCATTCCATTTTCTTCAAGTTCTTCAATATCATCTTCTTCAATCAAAGCTGATAATACTCTTTGATACAATGGAGTAACTTCGTTAAATCTTCTTTCTGAGTCTAATCTTCCACATAAAGTATCAATATCCTGAAATTGATTAACTAACTCCACTGTCCTAGCTGACTCTTTCATATTAACTTGATTTAGCAGGCTTCTATTTCCTTCTCCAGCAACAAGAGATGGAGAAGTTTCTCCATGTCGAAGATCACCCTGCAAAAGCAAAAGAGAGAGCTGCTAGATGAAGAAACCATTGAAACATATATGAATTTAGATCAACTTGCAAGGGTACAAGTGTTTTGGGTATCTTTCTTGTTTTGAAGACTAATGCCACCAAGGCACAATGTCCACAAGATCTGTGAATCAGATTGATGATGGTACGCACCCTTACTTTCATTCATATCAACAGTGTCATTATTTTTAAATCTCTTCATATGCAATTTTTTTTTTTTTTTTTCCCCCTCTTGATTGTGCATGCATGGCACGTAATTAGCTTTCCCATGAAAATTTATTTTTATGAATGCATTATTTGTTGTTAATATGTATAAATAAAACTAAGTGTTAAATAGAGTGCTTTGAAATGATCAACACCACCGATCAAAGCACTACTGAAGAAAGAGTGAGTTGATGTAAGTGTAAGGTGCAATATATGAGGAAACTCAGAGGATGCCATGGATTAACCAGTCAAAAAGAACCGAAAATCTCATGATGTGTCTATGGAAATGGTTCTTTAAGGTTAATATAGCACATGGATATGGGGTCAATACCAAACAGTCAAGCGCCTTGACACTAAGAATCATAGATTTTCTTTTGAAAAAGAGAAGGATAAATTGAAAGAGAGGATGACAAAAAAGCAGCAATAAAAGAATTGTAACATGGGGAAAAAAGATTTAGTGCGCATCTAATGAAATCATTTTCATTGCGTTTTTCCAATGGATAGGAGCATTTGTAAATTACATTTCAAAAAAAAAAAAAAAGGTGACATCTTTGGAAAGAAATTAATAAATTATGGAGAAATTTGTCCTTTTCATTAATATTATTTTATTTTGCACTAGAGACTCAAGTGCCTTCGCAAATATATCGAAAAATTCATAAACAGCATACATTTAAATAGCGCCTTATTAATCACATAAGAATAATAGAGATAGAGATTTTCAGTCAAGAACTTGCAATGAGATACAATAGATAAAAATTCAGCAAGGATGGACTGTGTTGGAGGTCAAACAGTAAACAGAGTGGAGAAAGATAACGCTGGCAGGAGGACCGGAGGGGTATGGACATATCCTAAATTAACAACTATGCTGCAAATTACAGAGATCTCTTCCTTTCAGAAATATTAAAACATTAATGCAGTGACAAACATCCGGGATAGGATTTCATTAAGTTCCTCTGCAAATTTCAGCTGATAACAACAAAGGAAATGCGAAGAGTCCAAGCAACTATTTCAACAATTTGGGAAAAAAAATAAAATGATTGAACTCTATAAGTAGCAAGAACTTCCTCTCGAAATAATCTTATCTTGTAGATTCCGGTTATCACCTGTTCAGATAAGTAGGATATGTCTTCAAAACTGACAGAAGCAAAAATTGGCTCCATCTTCTTCCAGAATAAACTAGAACAGGCAATACCTGCAAAAGCGAGTGATAGCGAATGAAAATATGCTTGTATAAAAAAGTAATTATATTTGCATCAAATCAGAACAAAATGGATGTCTGACACATACAACTACCATTACAAGCGAAATTTGCTGCTGCTAAGAGTTCTTCATGATCATCATCATCTGATTGTGCTAAAATACGGATTTACAAGCATAGTTAGGCATTATAAGAAAAAGAACTACGCAGTGAAATATTTTAACAGTAGGAACCATGCATGAATAATGATAACTTTATATACCAACACACACCACCACCCCCCCCCCCCCCCCAACAACCAAAAAAAAGGTGTATGTCAGTCACGGGTCCCCAGTATGACTACAAAGAAACTTCAGAAATAACCTAACAGGGGTAGCTGCCACTAAAATGGAAATGAGAAATATTTTACCAGCATCCAAATCCAGTGAATAATTTATTGTGCAACTCTCTGAATCTTTTAAAATATACCAAAATTACAAGTACAATGGAATAGATAATAACAACTTTCTATGGCAAATGTACAGGTTCTAAATTTGAAGGGTTATTTTGTCATTGTACCAGTAAAGTCTGGAGAATTGCTAGTCGGGATATGCCCAAGGTTAGAAAAACCTTTGCGATCCGACAATTTCTTTGAAGAAGGGACAAACTTACTGCAAGAAATGAACATATTACTTTATCAATAATGAAAACCATGAGTAAGGTAAACGGATAACATCAATTCAATTGTGTAGAAAATATATTCAGAACCTTCCATTCTTGTCAGAACCAGACTTTGAACTTCGAGATGGATTTCTTGTATCTGCATTCTCCAACTTCTCCGTTATAGGTGAAACGCTAGCCCTATAAAATGAAGTGCTCCTTCTGCTCCGCCCTTGTCTCCGTACACCATCACCAGTTTCTTCCTTAGTAAGTAGCTTATTCTTCTTTGTAAGCATTACAGAAGAACCAGCATTATGCATAGCATTTACAGTTTTTTCCTCCACATCATCACTACCAGTACCTTTCCCCTTAAATCTGTCTTCACCAGCACCAGATTCTTCACTTTCAGATAATCTAGCTGGGGATGTGACATTTTCAAGTTTCAATTTACACTTCTGGGTGCGATTAGCCATACCCTTGGAAAGCAGCAGACCATTGGTTCCACAAACACTCGCTCTACCACTAAAATCAGAAGAGGAACACTCTTCAGATGATATCTGCATTCCATCATGGTTTGAGACTGGAGAAACCAGATTAGCTCTCCTTGTGCGAGAAACTTTCTGTGGCCTCTGAACAACCCGTTGAGCCATGGGTGGAGAGGGTGATCCGGAGGCCACAACACACTTGCGATTGTTAGCCCCAGTAATTGAATAAATTTTATTCACAGCCCCAGTAATTGACTGAGTTTTATTCACATTCCGAGGTTGTTCCCAGCTCTCATATGTTCCAGATACACGAGGAATATTAGGAGATGTATTTGTTGCCACTACAGAACCAGTTCGCGGTGCCCTCAAAGCCCTACTTTTTGTCACTATACTAGGACCAGAAACATGATTGTCATCGCAAATATTTGACCTATAAAACACAGCAGCAACCATCAGATGATAAACTCAGGAAAGGATATCACATTATTGAAACAATAAAAAATGTTAAGGAATCTTTATTTCCATCACAATCCTAAAAAAAGTCAGCTATAAGTCTGACTCAACTAATAGCCTCATAAGTCTAAATGAGTAAATACACACTTATCATTTCCTTTTGCTAGAATTCTGTCCTTCTTTAATCTGGTTGCCAGATTCCTTTGAAGAACAGCCTTATGTTGCTCATTATTGGATGTTGCACGGACATTAGATTTAGCAGTTGGGGAACTACGATCCAACTTGTTGATCCCACTAATACCATTCAAAGATCCAGACCTGAAGAGATGCAAAGTATCGAGGACAAAGCAATTATTTTTCGTTTTTACAGCAATGTATGGTGACAAACTAGATTACCATCAAATTAATAAAATATATAAATACATAAAAACTAAAAGAAAATGATATACGCATAAAATAAAATCTCATCTTCAATGTATTGATGCATAGAGTTCATAAACAGTATGGTCAAATCTAACAAATGTAAAATGCTCAATGAATGGATGTCTTTTTCATATTGTCTTTTACTGTGCAGGGCATCAGCCGTTCAATCCCTTTATTTTGAGAACTGATCTGTCACAAATTATGTCCCTTTTGGGAATTGCAACATTTAAAGAAAGTGGCTTGTAATGCATTGGAAAACCTTGAGTTTCAAAATTTGCCCTCTAAAATTACATATTTACTATATTGATTTGTGTGGTAATTTTCCAGCAAGGGCTAAACTAGAAATGTTACAGAGAGGAGTGTTCTGAATTTTCTAAAGTGACATTTATTTTGAGGCATCCAATAACTATTTAATATGGGACAAACTGACAAAGAGAGTACATTTTTTTTTTTCCAGAAATAACAAAGAGAGTACAGCATACTACAAGAAGTGCACATTAGGAGGCCAAATGTAGTTACATGAGCCAAACGCCATTTTAAAGAAGCATAGGACACCCTTAAGTAATTGACTTGCAAATGGAACAGATTCTTAGGATTTAAAAATAATAATAATAATAATAATAATAAATCTCTCGTACAGGCATGTCTTATTTTCCAATAAATGGCACCACTCTTCTGGAAAATAATTCTCAAAGTCGACTTCAAATGGAGAGATGAAGGTCCTAAACCAGCAGCAGTCATGGTTGGGTGAAACAGCTGGTTTGTGGTGGTTTTCCAGCCTACCGATACCAAGTTTCACAAAAATCACATGAGACCGGCCGATACTCTGACCGAAACGTCTGTTACGGCCTTGAACTGGCCGCCTCTCTTAGAGAACCGGCCGGTTCGGCTGTGGACCAGAAGATTAAAAAATAAAAAATATATAAAAAGTAAAATAAAATAAAGAAGAAGAAGCTAGAAAATAAGGAAAGAACCTAACCAAAAATAAATAAATAAATAAAATAACGAAAGAAAGTGTATGTCCTCCATCACTTTCTTCACAACACAACTATCACCTTCTACACAGAGATGTCCAGAAGACACAATGGTTCATAACCACTGCAACCTTCTTAACGACACAACGCTCTTTGGTAAGTTTGTACAGAAGACACACAACTGTTGAAGCCTCTAGTTTGTAGAGAGAGACGTGAGGTAGCCAAAGAGACCTTCTGAATGAATTAAATATAGTGTCTATCTTCAATTTATCTTTCTTATTTCTATTGGTCAAAATGGACAGTTACTAAATGTATTCTCTCTTCAATGTTTCATTCTATCTTTCCTTTTCAGATTGGCCAAAGAGGACGGTTAGTATCATGGGCTACAGCTGTTGTTTTCTTTTTTTCCGTGTTTTCTTTTTAAAGATAAGTGACACATCTACACATTTATTTTTGTAAGTTTTATTTATTCTTTTTCTATACATATACTCTACTATCTTGTATTACATAAGATAATAATGGATACCATTTCATAAATTAATAAATATAAGTTTTTCCTAATTTTGATAATGATATTATAATTTTTACTTTAAAAAATAATAATAATAGGAAGAAGAAGAACTCTTTAATTCATAACCACTTGTGCTAAATGATCTTAAAAAAATTAACTGGAATTACTAAAATTCACTGTAAATCCATTTGTATTGAATTATATGTAAAAAGTTGCTACATCTTCTTGCTATTGGTACACCCAAACTAATATTTATCTTAATATTCCCTCCATCCAAAAAAAAGTGTCCACCTTCCCATTTTTAGATGTCCCAATTCAAAAGTCAATGTATTATATTTTACAACATTCCCACTATACCCTTCTTGCATTGAACTTATAAAAACAATTAAATGTAAAACATCATCACATCGTTGTGGACCCACCATGGGTAGATTTGGTAATTCATTCACTACCAACAAAAAACTAATATATATATATATATATATATATATATATATATATATATATATATTAAAAACCACGTCTTAAAAAGTTTAGGTTCCCAAAAAGGGACACTTAAAATGGGATAGAGGAAGTAATTTCTAAAGAAAAATATATGTTACTTTTGAATGCTAAAAGCTGCGGGCCACAATGTAAAAATATGTGACATAACATGTATGTTATGGTTAATGATTTTATTGTACTTTTAATGTGTATTATATTTATTTTATTTTCTCTTTTCACATGTCATGTTATATATATTATGAATTTGTATCTATTATTATTTATTAATTTCATAAAAAGTATAATTATTGACCATTTTTAATAATGACAGCGATTCAAAATTCATGAATAGGTCATTACTTGTGGTTAATGGTCTCCAAATTCAATAAAAATCTCCAAAATTCATCTTTATCAAATTATATAATAAAAGGTTGTGTATCACAGCATTTTAGACGCTTCATGCAAGGTAAAAAAAAAATAAAAAAAAAAAATCACAACTGCCATAACAAATTCAGTTTCGTAACACCGATACGGGCCCGATTCCGTTACACCCTGTCTACATCTATGACTGTGACCACAATTGCGAACCTTGGTAGCAGTATGACTGTAACATAAAAGGTCATCCTATAATAATGAAACAGTTACCTGAAACCTTGGGCATCACAAGATTGCAAGCCAGGTTGATGGCTAAGGTTTTGATGCATTGCTCGTTTCAATTCTCTGTCACTATCTATTGGTCTCATAGAAGCTGTACCGACTGAACGTTTCCTCTTCGTTTTTTTGTCCCACCCTTCCCCTCCAGCAGGCAATCTGTGAGTCTTTTCTCCGACCAGATCAGAACCTGCACCACTATCCTTAAACATGTCTTGATCTTTTGCCATTACAAGAGGCTGCCTAGGTTGTCCATTGCTCTGGCATTCTGCCTGAAATAATTTCAAAAAGAACTAACCAATAACTTCATAGTCAACGAGTTGTGCCCAAAATAACAACAGCATTTGGTACATATAGGTTAATCGGTGCAACAATGAATCGTCAGGGTGTCCCGTATGAGTTGAATGCTCTTTTGCATCTTATATACGGTTCAAATTGATTTAATAATATCATTTGTACTGTGTAAATCAGTTCATTGAGCTTTTATTATTACTTGAACAAGGAAAAGGCAATTTTAAGATTTAAATGAGTAACAGTATTTGCAATATTCATTAGTGATTATGATGCCATCTCCAAGATAAATTATTAACTTGCATAAAATGTATGTAAAATACAATGCATGATTCAATTTGTCATTAAAAATTCAAGCAATTTAATGTTGTGTCAACTAAAGTGTAGAATAAAACAAGAATCAATATGTCAAGTATAATTGAAGCAACAATATCAAATTATAAATCATGAAAATATTTTCCCCAAGTGAATTATGCAGCATAAAAGTTTTAGGGAATGACAATAGCAAACCGCAACATCAAATCAGGTACAGACCCGTGTTTCTGCCACCGACGTTCGTTGACGCTTATTCAGAACAACATTCTTAGTCCGGTCATCTAGTCTCTGTGTTACAAAGTCTGGAGGGTTTTGATGAATCTGGGTTGCCATCTTTAAACTCAATCCACCCGATTGCTCATTTTTTATTAGCTCGTTGCTTTGCTGCTTTTTGGAGCTTCCACCTTCAACAAACTTGTCCAAATGCTGCAAGTGTTCTTCCAAAATTTTTGCTCTAGCCCTGGTAAAAAATTTAGTTCCATTTTTAGCCAAAAAAAATAATAATAATAATAATAAATAAAATGATAAGAAAACCTCAAGTGATTAAATCCTAGCTTTACATATTTATTTCAAAATTTCATTATTTGTTTCTATATCCCCAAACCCAAAAACAAAAAAATACACAAAGACAATAAGATGGATCCAAGTTAAACCTTAAAATATCTTAAATAAGATAGGAAATAAAATATCATCACAAATAAAGGCATAATAAAAAAGTATAGTAAATCAATTGCAATATCAGGTTTATATCTCAAAAATGAATACTAAAATATAATACCTGGCCTTGAAAAGGCCATCCACGATACTTGCTTTATAACGCTTTAGTTCATCCATAGTAACTGGAGGTGAAGGCTTGCAATGTGCGGCACCAAAAGAATTGTCTTCCGAGGCATTCCCGGTAGAAAAGCCCAAAACCCTCCTTAACTCCCCATAACGTGTGTACTTCTGGACTCCCATCATAATCGGTTCCAGCATCAGACACTGTGACAATGGGGGTAAGTTCCCGGTCATTGTGCCACTACAACGAGACATTCCAGTACCAAAACCAAATATCCGGCTCTCACCACCCTCTCGGAAGCTTCCCGACCTATCCATACTGGGAACTGAAAATTTCCCCTTCTGTCCATTTGGTTGGTTGCCTGCAAAACCAGGTTCCTGACTGCCCGAAGTTAACTCGAATCTTGCATTTCCCGCCATTACTCAACCCCAGTTGCAATAACTCATATCTACAAAGAGTTTTCCCCCAACAACTTGTTTCAGTGTCCAAATTATCTACCTCTGAAGCAAGTGACTTCTCACAGCCTGAAAGGAAATGAGTAATGAATTCAAAAGAAGATCTGGTGTCCACCGACTACATGTACAGCAACCATGTGCTAGAATTAACCTTGAATCAATTATTCAAAAAACTTCTTCACATCCTCAATAATTCAGCACACTCTAATTGAGAATGTCCATTCAAAGATGAACAAAAACAAATAGCAAAGGTAATCCTAACAGTTTAACTAACTAGCACATATACAGAAACAAATGCAGCAAACAAATACATACATCAACAGATACAAAACAGAAAACCTTCGAATTTAGAAGCCAAAAATTGTAGCCAGTTTCCAAACATGTAAAAACACTTCAATTTAAAATATTCTAAACATTGGCCTCCAAATCTGAATAAGGATCAGAAAAAGAAACCAACAAGGAGTGCCAGTTATATAATCCATCAACAAGACTACCAAGATTTAAGATCCACTTAAATGATTAATCATACAACATCGATAACTATTGCATTATAATCCTAAAAGTTCCAACAAAACTAATAGTAAAAGCAGTTGCACAACAATGATTACCAATATATTAGTTAAATAACAGCACCGATCACAAAATGGAGAAAACTAGAACTCTAAAGAGTGTTTAAGCATTCGAATTCAGCAAAAACAATAACTGTCGTGAACTCCAAATTCCAATGAGACATTTCACCGAAAAATTAAACACAAAATCGAAAAACAGACAAGTTCAATTAACGATTCTACCAAAAAATTCTAGGGTTTATCGATGAATTGCCTGAAATTTAGCAGGAAAAAAATCCATAAAAACGAATTAACTCAGAAGTACGTAACTCGAGGGAATCAAAACCAACTACATTCATCGATCTGGCGGCTCGAAGAGAGAGAGCAAAGTTTGTAGAGAGAGAAAGTACCGGAGTAAGAATAATGGTTGATTTTTCTCTTCTTCTCACCTGAAGCTGTCGTCGCGGAGATCTTTCGCGGACGAGAGAGGGGTGGGTCCCGCTACTACTGCTGCAAAAAGAAGTCACTTTTTATAAGTTTATAATTTATAGATGGGTAAAGTGCAAATAACCCCCCTGAACTATGGGGAAATTTGCAACTAACCCCCTGAACTACCAAAAATGCAAAAAACCCCTCAAACTATACAAAAAAGTTGCAGATCACCCCATCCGGTGACCGGCCGTCCAAAAATGAGCGCGTGATTCACACGCGACAGACAAATTAAGTTTTTTGGACAATAATGCCCTTCTATATATGAAAATACCAAATTATCCTATAACCACCACCACCGTCGTCTACGACCACCACCACCTTCTGCAACCACCAACATAACCACCACCACCGTCCGCAACCACCAACATAACCACCACGAAACCCTCCTGAACTCATGCCAAAACACACCGTTAAACGAAATCAAACCCACCACCATCACTACCACCTCCATCGGCATCTCAACGGCACACCACCAAACCCAATCGAACCAGTACACAAACCCACAGCCACCACCCCAATCCCGCCACCACCATCACCCGTCATCACCAACCACAGCCTAACCTTCTCTCCATCAAACCCATCACACACCGTGAAACCAAACCCCCACTAACCCACTGCCATCACCCCCTTCAATCACAATCTCTGGTTCTCCCTCGGGAACGAAGGCGGTATGGAACTGCTACTCGGTGGCGTCGAATTCCGGTCTGATAGCGGAGCACTAGTATGGGCGGCGATGGATCCGTATGCGAGCAACGAAGCTTTCAATTGCAGCAACGGCGATCTGTTCAAGTGGAAGCACTTGTGGAGAATGATTGCGGAGTAATTTGGGGTCGATGAAAACGAGAAGTGGGTGACCGTCCCGATCGGAACAGGGAGGTTGGTGGATGAGGCGAAGCTCGGCCGCTGTGCAGCTAAGCCGCAACCAGCCCATCGCCGCGAGTTAACCATGGCCGAACCAGCCCATTGTCGTTCAGCCCACCTTGCTCGCCGGTCCTCTCCACCATCCGAGCTCGTTCCAGCTGTCACCGCAAGAGACGGTGGCGGGGCAGGCGCAGGAGATGACGGCAGCGAGATCCCAGCGGCGACGAGGATGATTTGGGTTTTGACGCGTCGACTCCGCATCGTCACCATAATCGCCGACTTACCTCCTCTTCCGTCACCATAATCGCCGCCGCCGCCACCATCTTTTTCCTTCATTTTCTTCATGATTCAATCTCCAGCCTGATGCTTCTCTCTCTCTTCAATCTCCAATGTTATATATATATATAAACACATATATATAAATTCAGTTTAAAACCAGAAATATATATATATATATATATATGTTTATTTATTATTTTATTTCTTTATATATATATATATAATCATAAGGGCAATTCAGACTTTTTATTTTTCCGGTTAAGTCGGTCACCGGAATGGACTGAAATGCAACAAATTCATAGTTTAGGGGGTTTTTTTTAGTTTAGGGGGGTTAGTTGCAATTTGTCAATAGTACAGGGGGGTTATTTGCACTTTATCCTTTATAGATTGGACCACGTTGCGTGACATAATAACCAGTCCTTTTATATTTTTGGGCACAGTCCATTTCCAATATTTAACCTGGGCTCATTATATTTGGTATTGTCTGTCTCAATCCGAATGTTATGGTGGGACCAAACTGATAAAAATACTAAAGTGGCATGAGATACATAAAAGAAAATGATTGTTTTAGATAAGACAACCGTTGACTTCGTTTTGACTTTTATCATTGGGATGTGTCATACAACTTAAATTTTGTTTTTTTCAAAAAAAAATATTTTTTATTTTTTTGATATTTGATTGTTGTAAAATATTTATCAACAAAATATATATTAAAATTTAATAAAAATAATTTATTCATTAACTTTTAGTAGTTATTTTATACTTTTTTCTAAATGACTTGACCTAAACCTTTACCAAATACTAAAAAAATACAAATAAAAAAATATTTTACTTAAAAAATAAAAAAAATTTCTGAAACAAATATTTTACTTCGAAACGGAGCTTTCTTGTTTTTATTTTCGCTATCATTTTTTACGTGACTTGGTCATCTTTGGGTTTTTTATTTTTTATATTTATACAGCACTCGTGTTGTATAGAGAATCTCAACTCATTTTTATGAAAAAGTATCGATTAGAATCTAACATCAATAGACGATTATTATATATATTATTTGATAAAGGTTTTAACAGAAAAGTTGATTTTGTGTTTGGGAGTGCTGATTTGATATCTTGAATTAAAATTGAAACAAATTATAATTCAAAGTTTTAACTAAATTTTATTCAATTTCAAATTCAAAAGATCGATTCAGCGCTACTAAAATAGCATGATACCATTTGTGTTTAGTTAGAAAAGAGTAATTTACAAATGACATGTAGATTTGGAAAACTAGAACCAATTGTTGGAATGAAAAGGAAGAAGCTTCGTGAATATTTGGTACACATGATTCAAGGTTGTATAAACAGTTTTACTTTATCTAAACTAAAATAACTTAGTGCAACATAAATATATATATATTTTTAAAAAGTTATTACATAAGTGATGTCAATTTATTGTTAGGAATGTTAATTTAACCCGTCTTGTAGGGTCTCGTTCCATCTTGTCTCGTCCCTAATAGGAGGAGTTAGGGATCATCCTAATCGGGTTAGGGACGAGTTTGAAAAGAAAATTCGAAACCCGCAAAATCCTAAACCTGTCCGGATTAATAATTAATACATAAATAAATATTATTTTATCAATTGTAATTATTATTTTTTCTCTATTTCTTACGATAAATTTAATTTTAGCAATATTTTTGTTATTAGGATTGTTAAATACTTTACGAAACTGCAAAAAAAATTACAAAATTTAAAATTAATTAATTTAAGTCTGAATTATTTTTCTTAAAATATATATATATATATATATATATATATATATATATCGGGGCGGCCCACCCTGCCCCGACCTGATGCGGAGCGCCGCAAATTGAATTTGAGAAAAGATTTGCATTGTAGGGTAAGATTTGAAAAAGAGGTGCCTCAACCCGAACCGTGACATCACATTTCCTCTTGACCAATGAAGAAGGTGACCGTTCCTCCCAACAGCCTATCGATGGGATGGGCCAACTTTTGGTTTTGTCCTCTACGACTGCCCTTTGGGCTTAAGTAATTGCTACTCCCGATGTGGCATATCTTTGGGCTTTGGTCCCTAGCCCACTTTTTTGTTCTATAAACTCTATTTACTAATTTTACCTCATGTAAAATATTCATTCACATGTCAATGCAAAAAAACATAATAAAAATTTCCCAACCATGTCAATGCAAATTTAATTCTGAAAAAAAAGGTTAATAAATAAATTTTCTAAGTACCTCGTGATGATCAATAACCATGTTTGTAATATTCTCTTCCACCTGAGACACTGTTAAGTGAAAACATCTAATCTATTTATGTTTATTTCACTTCACATCAGGATCGTGTGAATCCGATGTAGACAAGACTTCAGAAACTCTAGATCCTATGAATAACCATGTTTATAATATTCTCATCCACCCGAGACACTGTTAAGTGCAAACACCTAATTTATTTATGTTCATTTCACTTTACATCCAGATTCACACCTGTAAATCCAACGCAGACAAGGCTCCCTGTAACAATTAGTGCTCTTCCATAAAATTAGAATTTGTTTTTTTATATTAGAGTTTGCAGTGTGTACTTATGGTGCTTTGTGTTCTTGGATCTCCTTAATTGTTAATAGAGTAAAGCTGCCTGATCAAAATGCCCCGGTCGGTCGAAACTGCACAATATTCTGGTACGAGTGACATTTACTTTCAAGCATCAAATTATAAGATTTTCTAGACCAAATGATAGTGAACCACGTGTTTTTTTTCGAACATTTAACCAAGGACTGTTTCTTCAAGTTGTCACTAGCTCACAACAGCGAGTAAGTCAAACAATATACCAATGAAACCAAATGAAGTATTGAGTTGAGAGGAGACCATTCATTCATTCCGAAATGATAAAAGTAAAAATTAATAAGAAAGAAGAAGAAAAAGAACACTTTTATCTGGCCTTTTCCAAATCCAGCTATTCCAACAAACCAGCCATATGTAAACATTTTCTTGAAGGTAACTATATTGCAAAACATTGACGGAACAAAAATAAAGTGCACACAACTAGTTTTCGACTGTGTTTATTTAATGTTGAGGAACACTGTATCTAGCAAGGAACATGAACTCGGTATCTTGTTACAAGAAAACTCAACAGGCGACTCGAGTCCACAGAATGATTTGGTACAGAAAATCGTACACTGCACTTCCCCAAGTGTTAGTAACTGTCTTCATCTGTTTCTGGTCTTCGAAGGTAGTAACGCAGACAATTTGTCAACACCTGCATGTTCAAATGAAATGAGAGAATTCCAAAACAAAATTAAAACTTAAATAATGAAATTGATTGTCTATTAGTACTATGAATAGTAAAAGATTGCCAAATTGCTGATGTTTAAAGCTCTTAAACCCTAAATGCCCCTGATTTTCATAGGATATGCTTGCAAGGGCATAACCGCAAGTAAGAGAATAATAATGAAAAAATTACATGATTTCCCTTCCTTGCTACTACAATCCAGTTTTGTTTCTAGGATACAAATAAATAGAAGGGTCACTGAATGCTTGTCTCAAGTTTTTTTTTAATTCCGAAAATGCTGTTAATTTTATAATAAAATGCTTGCCTCTTGCAAGGGCAGAACTGTAAGTTTGAGAACAATTACAAATTAATTTCATAAATCGTACTCTTCCCTTCCAGTCACCACTTCTTCTAGTATTAATAACTTCCCCTAGAATGCATATAAAGTGCAATATTCCAGTTTGTTTAATTTGCATAATAGGGCAAGAAAGGATTCGGGCAAGTGGAGTACTATAGGAATTCAATAATTTCCTTCCGAGTCAGATTATGACCCTGTTGATTCAATTATGTTTTGATGCAACAGGAAAGCAATCAAAAGCACATAATGAAGTAAATTAAGTAATTTCACTCAAAAGTATATGAAACCCGGAGGGATTTGGAACTGAAAAATAGGTAGGAAAATCAAGCATCAATTTACAGGAAAAAATGGCTAATGGATAAGAAAAACTGTTCCGTTGCTTAATAATTAAGTATTTTCAGTCAAAAAACCTGAATACCATAGGGAATTGAAATTATGACAGGTAGGTATATTAATCACAGGTTTACACTCGAGGATTTGTGTCATTTTGTACAAACCATCACCAGTTCCTCTGTGTATTCAAAGAATTTTGTATCAGTGGTAGCAGAACTTGAAATTATAATGATAAACAAACTTAATACAGCAGAAGCTTAATTCACAATAAACTAAGAGCTTATGCTGGCTCTAAAGATATTTAAGCTAATTACTGAATCACATCTAAAAATTTACCTGGGACAAGGAACTATTTAATGCAGCCCCTCTGTAGCTGACATGAAACGTATCTTTGGCAACCAAACCCTATAAGATGACAGCAAGGATGTTGATTAAAATCCGATATCTATATATATATATATATATATGGTTGTGTGTGTGTGTGTGTGTGTGTGGTGGGAGGGAGGGATAGAGAGATGGCATACTTCAGTATCGATCTCTGCTGACTCAACATTAATGTTTATATCAGCCATAATTTTGATGATCTCAAGCAGCAACCCAGGTCGATCTGCTGTCTCTATATATAACAAGCTGGGAAATGCAACCAGTTAAAGATGGTGGATAATTCAGTAATATATCAAGTTAATATCCTTTACAAATAAAAGTTAATTGAATTTGAAATGGGGAAAAAATAAATGGGTCACCAAGTAATTAGAAATGGGGAAAAAAATAAATTATTGCAAATAATTATACTAAAAGCCATTCCAATGAAGTTGCAAACCTCCTTTTAGGTCCATCATCCTTGACATGTATGTGGGTTGCAATATCAACATCAAGCTGCCATTAGAAGAAAATTTTTGAGACAATTTTTAAGGTTAACTATACTGATATAGCATAAATAAGACACAATGATTGTTCCAAGACATCTAGAATAGAAAAAAATAGTTTTGAAGTTCTTATGAAGACAAAAATCTTTTGAAAGCTTACTTATGAAGACAACTTCAAGCTGAATTAGGTCAACAAATTATAAATCAGTTGCCAAGACCTAAATTATGTACTTTGACTAACTTGAGCATTCACTTAGTAATTTATGGCAAACAATTAGCACTCCACAACAAGGACATATATTTCTATTACATCTTGGACTTCAATCATTAAGTAAGTGAATTGAATCAGGCATCCAAGATTGTTAAGTTTGACTGATGTAGGTTGAAATTTAATCACTCCACAAGTAAAACCTATATGTTCATAAAAGCTCATGTAAACATGAAAACAACATATCTGCTGCAAAATAAATAAATTATCCCAACTAAAAATCCTGTACAGATGTAAAAGTAGTATTGAAGGACTAAACCATCACTCTCTATTACAAAAAACTCCTGTAGGGAAGTCAAACCATTTTTTACTTCTTTACTATGTGAACAAGTCACAACTATATCATTGATATGCTAAGATTTTCTTAATTTCACAAAATCTCTACGGTCTATCAAAATGAGTCCCACACTAAGTTACTAACTACAACAACACACAAAAAACACCAATCCAGAATGTTTGTACAAACTCTTTCCCATAGCATCATTCAATAAAGAGTCCCACACTAACTACAACAACACACATAAAACACCAATCCAGTAATCCCTACAAGTTTCTAACACTATAACCTCCGACATATGCTAGGGTCCGGAATTGCAGGTTGATGCTTCTGTTGGGGTCCATCAACATTCACAAAATATTTTCTTCAGAATTAAAATTTTCCATCCTAAAATTTGCACCAGAAAGCAGGACACATAAATGCTCCAAAATATGGGGGGAAAAATAAGAGACAGAAACTGGCTGCTTGATCTCAGTGAAGGAATGTCGATCATATGGAAAGTAGAGACAAAGTGAACCAAATTAAGAATATAAGAAACAATGGATATTGCTTAGTTAATATTATAACCTTCTTTGTTGGAGCTTTTATTCCAAAAGCCTCACCCATGGCAAGTTGCTCGCTAGACTCCTAACAAGCAAAACATTATAATTTCAGGAAAAGACGAAAACACCAGTAAGCAATGTAAAGAACAAGTGGGCAAACTTTCATTCATTGTAATTCAACAAAATGATGATGAAGATAATTTAAAGAGTGAAGGCATCAACTTGTCAAACATACTGGATGATACTTCAGAAGGTTGTTGATAATGGTGAGCCGAATTCTCTCCAATAAATCAGGATCTTCAACTTTGCGTCCAGTGATTCTACCATATAATTCAATAGAGCTCTGTAAATGTTAGTGATTACGCAACAATAGGGGGGAAAACAAAATATTTTCATTTAAATGCTCAGGATGTGAATATTGCAAATATTTGCTTTCAGTAGCATTGCTGATTTAGAAGAAAATAAAAAAGCATCTCATTAGAAATTTGTTTAGAAAATCACTATAAAGCTATCAGATATTTAAGTACAGAACAAAATTGCCTCTCTAAATCATGATGCCAGGCCAGCATATAATAAAAAATTAACATGTTTAAAAGTGAAAAAACATAAATTATCATCATTCCATCTCAGATTCATTTCTATAGTGCATATACTTGCATTTATGAGATCAGTAAGTTTAATAATTTCTGATACACCTCATGAGGCATAATAAAGCTTTCCAAACTCTCTGTGAACAATTCTAAAACCCACTCAGGTATATAATTCCGTATGGATTTACCTAAATTCAGATTCAGCATATGATGCAACAAGGTCAGTTGATGATTTTTTTTTTTTTTTATCTTATCATGAATTTATTCCCTATAATGGTACAGTATATGCATAAGCCAAGCGACAGATATAATGGCCATAAATTATGTATAGGAGTGAACATTATCATGATTGGTGACCTTGTAGGCCTCAAACATTTTACCACTATAATTAAAGAAAACACAAAGTAGTGAGGAATAGCTTATGTGCATTATAACCAATCATGAAGAATTCAAAATTCAGTGGTCTCTGACCCCCGTATGTAATTGTACCAAAAGAAAATTAAATATATAAATCATTTTTTTTTTCTTTTTTTTAATTTCCTCTTGGCTCTGGAGTTGACATTTCACCAACATACAAAACCTCAAGAAGTTAATCCATCTCTAAGCATAAAACAAGATTCATCCATCGTAATCTCATCTCTATCTATGCAACATAGAGAAGATATAAATGCTGAAAGAGTTACTCACAATCGTGTAATAAAAAACTTTGTTTGTGTCACTGATCCCTCAGTGGTAACAGTTCCCTTTGCCACATCCAAGCCTAAATCTTTTAATGCCTTCATCTGCCCAGAACAAACCAAGACCAGTCGAAAACTTAATATTATTTGAAGGCCAAAAGACTCATGTCAGTCGAAAAACTAGATATGAACAGCTAAGCACAAAAGTCTCTACAATTAGAGCTTCTTTCAAACAAACAAACTACAACTTATACCAACTTAAGCACACAATGGTCATGTGCTGCTCATAATCTATTTTTAACCTAATAGTCAATTATACAGGACATGCACTCAGTGACATTTATAAGCAAAATGAAAACATCCAATATACAATTTGACATTACAACGTCGAAAAGTGTTATCTGAGAAGCTGATCAACTGATGGGAGAGAGAGAGAGAGATATATACTTCATATGGCTAATAGTTGCCCCAAGCTCCTCTCACAATTTCTCCACATTACAGATTTACAGATGCCAAACCCAGTTTTCCCGTCAGGAAGACTTATCAATCAAATAAAGCTATTTACATCATGTACTTATCTCTCTTCAAGAGTAACAACATAACACACCTGGAACAGGGTACAGAATGAGTAAGCAAGTCATTTTACCGTGTCAATAAGAGCACCAAGGCGATCTCCAAAACTAACTTGCACAATAGTTGCATCAGAATCTGAATCTTGATCTATCAGGACTATTGGCATTGGAACATAATCGGCATCCTGATCAGACATCTGAAAATAAGAAAAAGAAAAGATCGACATTTTGTCAGTGTTAGCATGGCATTTGCAATTGGTAAAGCATAGTAAAATACGCTCAATAAATTCATAATCAACAACAGATAAGCAATGACTATACCACATATAAATTAATATGATGCATTGAATTTAGAAAACTATCATTATTATATTATGTCGCACAATTGTCCTGGCACCATTTGCTGAAAAGCACATTCTAAATGACACTGGACCAGCTTTCAAAGATTGGAAGTTCGAATGCACTAGATGCAATATTATTGCCCATGCTGAGAGAAAAAGGGGGCAAAAAGAGTTGTAGAATACCTTATTAAAACAGAACAAATACAATGAGCAAGAGCGATGGAGTTGGATTTCACTAAAAGCAGCCATTATATGTCCAAATGTTACAATGAACAGCAATAGGCCATTAAGGTTATTATCCAGTCCCGGTCCTGTTAATAGACAATATGAGAGGGAGAAATTGAGTATAAAGCTAAACTTTTGCATTATATTCACAAAGTGGCGGTCCTAACACTCAAATCTACATTCACACACTCGGCAGCTCAAGCTTATACTACTACACCAACCAAATAGCCCCTTTCCAATAAAAATAAAAACACACATCTGAATGTTTCTGAATATGACAAGCTTGTAGCATAAGGCAAGGGTATCTCTTCTGACAATATTCGGCCTCCAATGCCATCTCCATGCAAAAGCACCAGAGCTGAAATCTTGTACTCCCTACAGATACCAGAACAAAGATTTCCAGCACCCATCAGGTTTTGAATTCCAAATCCCAAAGGTTTCTCATGAAGATAGAGTTATAATGCAGAAGATCTCAACCCAAGGTATAGACATTGACTCAGATCGCGATGCACATTTAAAGCAAGTCAGACCACTCAAGGGACTTCACTGCAAGAGCCACATCAATTTCCAAGAGTAAACTCTTTCTCCTGCACTACCCCTGAACTTTACTCCTCTAGAAAACTCCTTCACACCACTTACAATGGCGTTGCACAGCTGGTAGCTCTATAACATTAGATTCCCTCACCTCACTAAACCACCGACCATGCCAACTACAACCAAATTTGCACAATCATTTTCCTCTGTAGGCTATCCATCTCTCTGTAACAAATCTATATAAACACTTGCCATTAAAAAAAAAATTCTTCACACCACTTGTGATGGCTTTGCAGAGCCGGCAGCTCTATAACACTAGATTCCCTCACCTCATTGGACCACCAACCATGCCAACTATAACCAAATTTGCACAATCATTTTCCTGAGTAGGCTATACATCTCTCTACATAAACACTTACCATTAAGAACTTGATTCATCACCACCAAAGAACTAAATCCCTAAGCCACAAACCTCTTTAAGAAAACAAATGGAAAGCCAATCCAAAAGGTGATACTTACTGTAGAAATTCCCCTGTGATGTTTTCCCATTCCTAGAAGCTACCGAGGACGTAATACTGAAAAGAGACCTAAGATAAGTGGGAAGACCGGACAAACCGCACCTTTTCCCATTCCTAGAAGCTAACTGTGAAGCAATACTGTAAAAAGACCTAAGATAAGTGGGAAGACTGGACAAACTGCACAAAGTCAGAGTCAATTCTTGCCCTTTCAAAAGGTACATCATTTTCTAACCACTTAAGTTCCTTTACACTCCTTATCATACACTCTTTAGGAAATAGATTCCTTAATGGCCTTTTTCCTTGAAGGGCAACCTTAAGGAAAAACTAAGATAAATGGTCTGGTTGAGATCAACTCAACACCCTCAATTTAAAATCAATTCCCCACATCGTCAACAATTAGGATCAACTTAGACTACTGAAGATGCAAGAAAATGCCGTTCTATATCAGGAAAAGATTTTCTCACACTCCAAACAATCTACCTTTCTTTTTCACTCCTCGCTTCCCTTTATAGAAGCCTACCTTTGCCCTAATTTCTTACATTTTGCCCTTAGGTTGTAGGTTGATGTATCTTCCTCCTTTGTGGGGTGGTCTGCATATGCAAATTGGCCCAAACGGAGGCCCACTATTGCTATTTTAGGTGTTGTGTACACTGGGTCCGGCCTCTGAAACTTCTGGATGGTGGGCAGCCCAGTCGATCGGGCGTGTTGGGTTGCGTTTGGCCCGGCTCAGGCCCTTCTACATTTCCCAACCCTTCAACTACCCAAACTAACTTTTAGAGCCTATATATCCTTCCAATTTTCTCTCTTTCCACCCTATAAAAGAAAAAGATAAACTAAATACAAAGATACCCAGAGCAGAACTACGTGAGGACCAAGGGGGACATAGAACCCCCAAAATTTTGTATAATCCCTAAAACATAAGTTCCTATAAATAGTTAATTTCAAAATATTAATAAGATTTAAGCATGTGTCTCCCCCAAAATTTATTAAAATTCTTAACTGAGTCTTTCATGCCTTATTTTTAGAAGCTCACAACTAAAGGAAAGTTAGAAATTTCCAAATATAGCTCCTATCTCTATTATTATTATTATTTTTTCATTTCATGCACTTGATGATTTATGAATTAGTCTAATTAATTGATAAATATTCTTACTTAGATCTAGTTTCCAAAATTTTAATATAAATAAAATATTATACTATAATTTTTTTAATTTATTTTCATATTACTAATTTGACCCCTACAAATAAAATTTTTTTGGGTCCGCCCCTAAAGCCACCTCATTTCGTCCCTCTCTGTTAGTGCAAGACCTCAGCCAAATTTCTAACAACCATAAAGATAATCTTGCTTAAAGGCTTCATTAAAACAATAAAGGCTATGAACCTTGAACATTCTTATACACACAGTAGTTGTTGTCATACTTGAATTCATATTTACACACTTGAAAGCTTGAGCTTTTACCATTTTGCCAAGAAATTACCCTAATTGCCACTTGAAAGTAAGGTGCTCATGAAAATCAAAGTACTCAAATACAAAAAAATGCCATTCTAGGATTATGATAAATTCTATAACTGCATTAGCCTCAAAACTCAATACTAGATTCATTCTCTTTAACTCATTTGGGACTAAACAACAATTACCATTGTAATTATTTCTTCTTATTAGTTGAAAATGCATTGTGGTGCAGTTTGAGAAAGTAAAACGATATGCGTAAGCCAAAAGAATAAAACATAGCAGGACTTCCTAATGAACTTAAAATCATGACTCTCTCCGCATCAAGCTGCATAACCATTGCAACTCACCCTCCAAGTCATGGCCCTCTTAGATATCCCATCTAAATAGAATAAGAAACCAACTCGTACTCTTAGATAAATCATAGATCGAACCGCTGAATCAGAAAAATTGGGTGCTATGGCTAAGTTCACGAGTTGGAGATAAGCGGACTCGAACCACTGACGTCCGCCGCACGGTGAACCACTACCTCTCAAGTCCCCCCGACTGATTCTAACCCCCCCCCCCCCCAGCACACACCAAAAACAACAAAACAAAAACAAAAAAACTCAACTGACAACTTTCATAGAATAAAAAAATAAAAAGCAACCCCCTTTTTGTCATCGACATATTTTGACCAAAAACCAACACACATCCTTTAACTGATGGCATTGCACAGACAAAAACCAACACGCATCCTTTAACTCAAGCAAACTTGCGAAATCTCATACAAGCTCATCTGGCACCACAATTCACTCAACCAGAGTTACCAGAGAAGGAATCAAATAACAATATGTTGTAAGTTAAGAGTATAATCATATACTACATACTGCAAGTGACAACTAAAAACTATTCATAAGCATTTTGGCATTTTACCAATTTAAGTTTCTTATTTTATGTTCTGATCTTGCTCCATTGGTCTTTGGAATGACAATAATATGATGCATGGAATCTTTAACGCCGGTCCTAGTCAAAGAAATAACAAATCAACTGAAAATTTTAAAATTTTATGTAATTTTATTTATGATGATTCCAAAAGTAGGGGCAATTCCTTAGTGCACTGATTAAATGTTCGTTTTGTCAAGTCTGAGAGTCCCAACTCAATTCTTGAGAGGACCAACCTTGTGCTTAATTCCAAAGATCGTGTCTGTATCAAGTCCACCCCTCCAGTACACATGATTAAAAGGGGATCTTACATTCTAGAAACGCTTTTCTAATATTGATCGTTAATTTACTCTATTTGGGAAAGGACATGGACAACCAGCACTATCACAATGTCATGTAGTTTAATCCTTTTCTTCTTCTTATTCCTTGCTCCTCCTCTAGGTCCAGGGCCTAACTCCTTTTTGATCTACTTCCACATTGTTAACTTTAACTTCTCCTCTGTAGTCCACTAAGAAACACGGACACGGATACGACACGACACGGACATGGCGACACGGCAAATCCCAAAAAATTAAGACACGGACACGGCGAATAGTGTATATATATATATATATATATATCAGCATTAATAATTTTTTTAAAAAAAACATTGATATGTTTAGGTTGGAATATATATATATATCACTGATATGTTAGTATATATATATATCAGCATCTTTAGGACACGGACACGGCGAATTGTGGCATCTTTAGGGTAGTACAAAACAAAAAATAGAACATATCAGCATTAAAAATTTAAAAAAAAGAAAAATTAACATATCAGCATTAAAAATTTTAAAAAAAAAAAAAAAATCCAGAAAAGTGTGTCCGAGCCGTGTCCGAGCTGTGTCCGAGCTGTCTGAGCCGTGTCTGTGCCGTGTCCGGGCCGTGTCCGAAAATTAAAAAAAATAAAAAAATTCCAGACACGTTTTTTGGCGTGTCCGACACGTGTCGGGGCGTGTCCGACGCGTGTCCGTGTCCGACACGTGTCGGACACGGATTCTTCGCCCATTTTGGAGTGTCCGTGCTTCCTAGGTAGTCCATAAGATATCCTTCTTACAGCCAAAAACCACATTTTGAGGGCAAAATCCAAACAACCAACAGTGGTATAGAGCTTCTACTTTATATGTTTTTGTTCATGGACTATCCCTCTTCTGAACGACCACCATAGTTTGAGTACTATTGTTGCTTGAAGGGGCCAAATAACCACCAGTTCATGATCTTATTCTCTCTTCCCCTTAAACCATCCATCTTCTCATCAACTAAAAAGCTAAACATTATTCACAACAATGGGTACCAACTGATATTTGATTCCTTTTAATTTTCTACTAAAGTGATCCATGACTGTTGCAGATCAGACACTTAAACAAAACCCATCATAACATCAAATATACCCCTTTGTAAAGTGTTAATAAGAGATTGCATTGACGAGGCAACAAGTTGGTAAACTGAAGAAACATTCATACTTCAAGCAGACAAAAAGTTTCTATCTAATCATGTGACCATACATTCAATGATTCGTAACAACAAATATATCAGTAAGAAAAGTGGAGCCATTGAACCATTTCACTAACCAATGAGGTTGTACCCATTGAATCCACACCATCAACGGAAGCATGCACAGTATCCCTGCACCACAATTGGACTAATATTAGGCACTAAAACAACTGTGTCACAACCAATCTAAGCATACTGATAAACTAAAAGACTCATCCACTGCTGGCTTTATTATTTAATTTTTTCAATGAGATAAGTTCAAGTGCATATAGGATATTGAAATGCAAGTCAACTAACAATTTTCAAAGGCCGTAACAGTTGCCATAAACATCCATGAATAGAGACAGATATAAGAATCTAGCGTAAGCAGAAACCAAATGTAAAAGCATACAATGCCAGTACACAAAAATCAAACAATTGTAGATACCAAATAAAATCTTATATAATCAACATTGACAACTCAATGTTTACAAGCGAATCATCCATCATCTGAAAAACCTAATCATCTGCTTGATTGCTGAGAAAGTGTATGAAAATTGTAAAAAATAAAAGAATTGAATAAATTACAGAGAGAAATAGACTTGTTTGAAGCTAATACTTGACAGAATCCAAGGTTAAATCACTGGAAGCTAAAGAAATGGGGAACAATAGAAGAGATTAAATCATTTTAAACCTAAATATTCCATTAGCCATGACTTAATAGAACAAAACTTCTTCCAAGTGTTACTGAAACAAAGCTACAATTAATAACACAAATCAATCAAACTATTCTCAGCTACCAAACAGTGAGGCCGAGAAAATCGAGAGATTTTCCTCACTTTTTCCTGAAGAAAATGAATCGAGCTTGTTGAGAAAACCCATGGCGAATTGGGGAGAACTTGGAGGGCTCGAGATGGGAAATTTGAGGGGTGGAATCGAAATCGGAAACCCTAGATCGAAGGGGAGTGAGGGATGAAGAGAAGAAAGCGTGAGCGATGGCCATGGGGAAGAGAAAATCAGTAGTATTTGTTGTTTTTCACTTGTTTGGAATTGGAATTGGAATTGGGAAAAATCGGTATTGATGACATAGCACAAGTGTTTGGAGCGGTTATATTTATATGCCAGCTGGAGCCTGGCGGAGGAGATTTTTCTAGAGCGGCTCTGCGTCCCTTTTTGTGGGCCTGTATGAGTGGCAGTTAGTTATACTTTTTGAACTCTATAAACAAATATAGCAAGGGCAAGCGTGCAATATTGAGAAATGTTTCTCAACCAAACTCTGGATTTGCGAAGGCCAGAGGATGCGACGCCACGTCAGATTTTACCTTTGCAATTTGAGTTTTTTGGCAAATTAATTTAGGTCTGGAACTTTAGAGAAATTAGAGACCGAATAAATTATTCAAATTTTTATTTATTTATTTTTTTTTATTATTTTTTTTTTTTACCGGTGATAAGAAATCACCTTTGAGGCTTTGAATATAAAAAGTTAATAATATTTTAATTTTTATCATTTTGTAAAATTTAGTTTAACAGTTGTGGTGAGAAAAAAATTTTAGATGGTGTGATTAAGAAAACACAACAATTCTAAGTGAGGTAGTATAATTTATCCTTCTTATGTTGTGAATGGATATGGCAAGAACAATTCAATGAAATTTTGTTACTCCTTTTGAATAAAATCCACTTGAAGTTTTATTATTTTTCTTTCTATAGTAGTTTTATTGTGTGTGTTTGTTGGTCCTATTCAATAGCTATTAGCTTCCGAGGCAGTCGATAATTTTCATGAAATATGGGGTATCAAAGTTTGAATCTAATTGGATCAGCAGTATGAATTAATGCTTGGTTTTGAGACCATAAATAGGCCTCGAAAGAGCATGAAATGTGGTAAGGGGGCTAAATTTTATACCTTCTATAACACATTATTTCCGTACTTGGAAAACTAACTTCATGACATCAACCTTTCGTTTTTCAGGTGGTATGGAATTTAAGTTGTTTAATGCCATACCTGATCTTACTATTAATTTTTTTTTAGGCATGGTACCATCTTTATTGAGCCGAAAACTAAATTTTGAGTTATGTAAAGTATACTCGTGTTATGTTTTAGGGACTATCAAATTAAAGTTTTGAATTTAAAATTAGAGAAATTTTAGTACAAAATTAACTTTGAAATTCAGCTTAAGTTTATTTGAGTTTGGTTCGTTTATTTGTAGGGTCAACTCGAAAAGTTTACGAGTTCGAAAGATTAAGTATGAACTTATCATTATTTTTAAAACTCAAGTTTGCAGTGTGGTTTAATTTGTTTTTCTCAATTAATCCATTTCACCCAAAAACATTGAGGAAAAAAAACATAGAGATTGGATAATTAATATAGGAGTGATAATTTATGTATGATGTAACACATTTAACTCATTTAATAAATGGCACAAAACTAACAACATGAGAATATGTATTTTAAAAGATTAGTTTCGTCAAATACAAGGCGGTTCCGCCAAATCTCAGTTTTGTGCTGAGTGAAAATTTGTTACGGGATTGCGCCATTCTCATTTCAAATTATGTATGACAAATTTATGGATAACCATGTAAAAAATTCTACAACGAGAGGAGTCAATTATTTAGATATATAGGCCGGGTTATGCATTTGATCAAGCACATGTAGCGCAACTGAAACTTCGCAACTCCCTGAGCTCTCTCTGAGCTCTCTCTGCCACCGCCACCATGTCCACCGTTATCGAGTTTCTCTCTCTTCCAACGTAGCCGTCCTCTCTCTCTCTCTCTCCTCTCTCTCTCCCAACTGGATCACACTCATTCCTATTGATTTCGGAAACAGTCTCTAGTTCTCTCAATTACACTGTTTCTGTGTCATCTCTGTTGCTGCTTCTTGAAAGTGATGAGCACATACGAGGACTCGTTTTACACGGCGTGTAACAATCTCTATGGTGTCTGTCTCAAAATTGCTGGTGGCCTGCAAAAGGCCTATCTCGGAATTCTTGCTGCCTATCGTTGGGTGAGGTCCGTCCGAATTAGGTCCTTCTTGATCTTGCTCATGATCGCTTTGCAGATCGGTAGTGCAATAGCCGATCAATTTATGGATGCTGAGAAATCCAAGGTTAACAACATTCTCGTCAGTGTATTTTACGCCATTCTGGTATGCATTGAAAGAGTTGTTCGACGGAAAAGATTTTGCATCGTTACGGTAACTGACGCTATGACGATAGCGTCCACAATCTGCCAGTGCTGTTGGCGTTACTGGGATGCATATCTCCCCTGTTATTTCAATGTCTTCTCTGCAATGGGGGCGTTGTTCCAGATCATGAGTCTCTACACCGACGAGGACAACGAAGTCATTGTTCGTTGTGACCTAGGTGAACATTCGGGCATGATTTTGAAAAACCTTGGAGAATTCCCGGAAGGAATTTACGTTGAATGCCCCTTCTGTAAAATTCCTTGAAGGTAAATAACTTATCTCATCCTCTCTTCTCAATTCATGATTTATATTGTATTTAACTCTCAATTAGATGTTTCATGTTAACAGTTCGATGTTTCATGTTAATCTGGCTGGTGGCTATTTATGTTGTTCAATCCGTTTTTTTACAGTGTATTTACAATTAGGGTTTCCCATTCCAAACCTAATTACTAATTAGGGCTAGATAGTTTCATAACAGCATCAAGTGAGTCCAATTCTATGGAATAGAAGTACAGAAAAGAGATAAAAGAGAATTTTACTTATTTAGTAATTTCTAAATGTTTTATGGAATTGATCATTACCATCTTGCAGTATACATCATCTCTAATGTCTAATATAATTGCATTAGATTCTATATATACACAGAGTAACTGTTGCACACATTGGCAATAAACTTATGAAAACAGATTATTTCACAAATTACATAAACAAACCCTTGATATGAAACAAAATATAAGATATCTAGTTGGACATTTTTATGTAAATCAAATCTATATATATATATATATATATAGACATACTATCTTTAATCATTAAAGCAGTTTATTTCGACAATTTTGGAGCAAGTAATCTAATATAAATTTGATTATTATTATTATTATTATTATTACAAAATAACTATTATATGTGTCTGATTTGAATGGTTTTGAGTGTTGAGGATATCCTCAATCTCTTTTGTCTAAAAAGTTGAAGATCTAAGTACAATTATTATAAATTTCTTCAAGTGTTACTTCTTATAACTAATTCACTGTAGGAGTTTTCAAAACAATTAAATTGTGTTTTAACACATTACTTTCAAACTAAACTTAACTGTGTTGAAAACTGCTTTCGGCACCATTAATGTGTTGATGAAAGTTGATTCAACTGCATTGAGAATAATGGGCAGTCAAATCCTGTGCTACAATGACAATTATGGGACTAGTTAGAAAATGAAGTCTGGGACTTGTTAGAAAATGAAGTTTGTCAGTGTTTATTATTTACATTTATTACCTAGAATTTGGGTTAAATTATATTAATGCTCCCACAAAGTATTTGTTAAAATCCAATATGTATGAACTCGCCCCCACTAAATTTTTCTTCTTTGTCTAGTTGTAGTCCTAGCTTATTGATGACTCCCTCTTGTGAACATTGTAATTGTTGACAACATAATCCTAGTTCTATTTAATTTTTAAAATTTTCCTACAATTGTTTATTTATTTATTTTTTCTTAAGGGGTTTTCGGTTGATTTAGTTATAGGTAGATTGAAGGAAAAAAGAAAAATAAAAAACGCTTAATAATTATGTTTGAGTTTTCTTATTTCAAGTAATTTTCATGGTTGGGTTGCTATCAGCTGTTATGGGGTTCATGTTTGGGTTTTGTTTGATTTTTATTTCTATTTTTTCAGTAATTTTCATGAGTTGGGATTATTGACTTTTTATTGTAGTATTTTTGTTTCATATTATGAGTGGAGACATGCCTTGTTATTTAGAGATGTATTTGATTTTTCATTAACTTTTTATATAATAAGTGATCATTTTTATTTTTTTGGTAAATTATCCCAACCTCACCTTTGGTTTGTCGAAATTACCCTCAGAAGGAACTTTTTGAAAAAGTGTGGTCAACCTCCCTTGAGGTTTGGCACAATTACTCTTGACCACCCCTGACCTTAGAAAATAATTTCTAAAATACCAAAAATACCCTTTTAGTGGATTAAAGTGACTTAATGGCCCTCTGACCAATTTTAATCAGACAAAATCACCCTACACTATTCCTCCTCTCTCTGCTTCCCTACTCTCTCCTCTTTGTTACTGGCATTGTCACCACCAGCATAACCACAAACATCACCCCTTTTTCTCTCTCTGCATAGTAACTCAATTGGTGTATTGAGGTCAGATCTGAAAAACAAGAAGAAGAAGGTCGCGATTGGGGTTTCGTGCTAGGTAATAAAGCAGTTGTGCCTACCAGAAAGTCGCCCACAATAATTGTTGGGTTTGCTTTGCCATTTCTGTAGTCGTATTAATCAAATGCAATTTCAGATTTTAACTTCCAATTGAAGGGGCAGTTTCATGGTGGCATTATGACTTACCAAGTTGAGTAATTGCTATTATTAGTGTACCTCTTGTAAATATATTTGTCAATTGTTGTCAGCGTGAACCACTGGTAATTTGTTGAACCGGAGAAGATATAGAAACCGTGTTCGGGAGGATAGAGGGGGAGAGAATTGATGGGATTGAGTAAAGATTTTAGGGTTATAAGGGGAAAAAATTATTTGAATTTTTTTATGACATCGGCTATGACAGAATAAATTTAGTTTTTAATTAAAACGGAGGGCAAAATAGAACTTTTACAGTTTTTCTAACTCTGACAGGGTATAATATGTTCCAGGGGAGGTTGGGAGTTCTAGCTCGGCTAGGAACATGTTGTGGGTGCAATAGGAAGTTTTGAGTGCTCTTTCTATAGTTTATTTTTTCTTTGGTTGAGAGTGTTTTTTTATGTCTGCATTCTAGTCGTTATTTCCTGTTTATTGACTGTATGATGTTTTTGTTAGTTTGGCAAAGCCTAGGTAATTATGCCAGAAAATTGTGAGTGTGATATATTAATAGAATTTGCTCTTTTGGTAAAAAAAAAAAAATTTGAGTGACACGTCTTTGGTGTTTTGGCAGGTGGATCATGGAGACATACTGCAAGGAAGGTGGACATACTATAGATACTGATCACAGACTAGTCTAGATACTGATTACATACTACACTAGCTACTTCATTTTATATTTTGTGTGGGCGGTGCTTTAGATGATACTGATTCATTCCTGGGGCTATAGATTGCATTAGTACTCCCACACTTACACTCATACTTACGATCTGGGCTATAGACTGCACCAGTACTCACACATACGTTGCATACTTACTATTCTTCATGAGAAACAGAAATGTGGTTGGAACTTCTTCCTTGACACCGGATTTATTGTTGTACTCGAGATTCTGTATCTTTTGGCTTGGTTAAAGCAACAACTAAATGTATAGCACTTAGATAGTTTGCTGGAATATGTACTTACTATTCTTCATGAGAAACAGAAATGTGGTTGGAACTTCTTCCTTGACACCGGATTTGTTGTTGCACTCGAGATTCTGTATCTTTTGGCTTGTTAAAAGCAACAACTAAATATATAGCACTTATATTGTTTGCTTGAATATGTCATGGTAATGGTGTTTAATTGCTTTATTAGGGATCTTTTGGACATGTCTGAATTTATCTATTGTGTGTGAATCGATTTTGAGCCTAGCAGAGGATTTCCCCCTCCCCTCCCTTCCCTTCTTGTCCAAAAGAAAGGGACATCAGGGGCTTAGAGGGAGGGAGGGAGTAGGGTGATTAGGGGGTTAGAGTGAGAGAGTACAAAAGGATGGAATGAGAGATACTTGTGTGTATTTATATCAATTTACAATTTCATAAAGTGAGTGGGGGAAATAAAGTATTGAGATTAATGTGTGGTAAGATGGGAAAAAATAAAGTTAGAATTGAGTACAAGATGGTTGAAGTATTATTAATTAAAGATAAATCGATTTGGACGTACAAACCATTACATTTTCCAGTCTGGAAGAGTGTGCAAACATAATGCTTATGGTGATTTGTCATCTAGATTTGAAAGATACACAAATAAGCATGAAATTTAACATTAATGTACAAAATTGACTTTTCTTTTAAAAAACTTTACAAGATATACAGAAACATTGTTATGCCAAAATTGACATATATAGATTTACAGATTTTAAACCCAAATTAGGAACTTTATAATTATAACCAACAATCCAAATATTTAGAAAGAGAAGAGAAGAGAGAGAACCATACCTTCTAGAAGTGTTGATTTCAAAAAATAAATCTTACATATAATAATTTTTGTTTGGTAGAAAAATTTCTCATGGGAATATCAACTTTCATTGGAAATAATTTGTGACATTAGTCACCCAAAAACAAGAAAAAATGTTAAGTCACACTACCCCACGCAAAGAACTTGCTTGTCCAGCCCAATCATTTGCAGACCCAATAAGGCCCAGATTAACAACAATAAATTCAAATTTATCCCAATGCAAATAACTTAATTGTTCTGCCCACTTGTTGCAAGCCCAATGATTTCCAAATCGACATTAAACAGGACCGACCACTCAAAACGCCTCTGCGCATTAAAAGCCCAAATTTCCATTATACAAGTTAAAAGGTCTAACTTTCTACAAATGATCCCATAATACCCATGCATGTCCTCTAAATTTCAAACCTACCATTACTCAGTATGGCTGTCAATAAATCTTGGGTGCACGTCCGTGCGTGCAGGGGCTCATATGAGCCTCTCCGAGTATGTTTGGTACAGTGAAAAAGAAAAAAAAAAGAAGATAATATTAGATAGAAGGGAAAAGAAAAGAAATGAAAAGAAATGATAATATCAATTACTTGTTGAGTTTAGTTAATTAATAAAAGAAATTATAGTAAACATGTTTGGAAAAGAATTGGAAGAAAATTAATGTAATGAATTTACAATCATACCTTTTTTCATATAATTTTTCTTTTATAAATATAAAGGTAAATTTGGTATTTAAAAAATTTCATTAAAAATATTAGCTTTTTTTCCTTTTCCTTCCATTTTTGAGAGGATAACAAAACTTACTGTTTACACTTTATTCTTTCCTTCCAAACCCCTCCATTCTCTTCCCTTTCCATCAAACATTTTATACTTAAAACAACTTTTTATTTTCTTCCATTTCCTTTCTTTTATTTTTTCCCCATTTCCATTGTATCAAATTGAGCCTTCATGTTATGCATAAGTGTGTCTTATGTACATATGATTACAATGAATCTGATACACGGTGCACCCGACACATTCAAGATCTTTTACCATTTGGGATGGGGCAAATCTTCTCCAAACCCGTCCCATAAATAAAAATATTTTTTCAAATCGGTCCTGCCTCACATCACATCCGAGTTAGAGCGGGTTGAGATATCCCGATATACATTTATATATATTTTTTTAAAAGAAAACAATATAAAGTTAAGATAAATTTTATTTAAAAAAAGAATCAGTTTAACAATCATAATGACCTAAAATTTAAAATTATACCTAATAAAATAATATTTATTATTAATCAGACAAGTTCAAAGGCTTGTACCCGGTAAGTTTTAACTTGTCCGCCCTATAAATAGAACCGGTACAAAGATATCGGATGCCACAAACATACCATATCATATGACAGTATGACACATGTCCAGCCAATCAAAATGTATTCAGCTGAAGGCTGTGAAGTCTAGCTCTCTCCGTAACAGTGGCAAAAGGGGACGATTCAATAATGAGAAAAAGGAACAGAGAGAAGAAGAATCGCCAAGTCCGGTAGACGTCTCATCTGTCAAGTACTTGTGTGTCAAATTATGGAATTTTGAGCTTTGATGTGGCAAATTCATTTAGTTCGCGAAGATAATTTTGTTGGTGTGAATTTGTTTTTTTTTTTTTTTTTTTTTTACTGGGAAAAAAAATCTGGTTTTGGTTTTTCTACGTGGGTTTTGATGAAATAGTGTTTTTATGGATTGATGTCAGTTGCACACAGAATCATATTTTGATGTATATATATATATATATATATATATATACCTTTTAATTTGGTGAAAATGAAAAGGTATATATATACCTTTTGATTTGTTTTTCTATCAAAAGATACATGGTTAATTTGGTGAAAATTCCATTGATAAGGTATTTCATGTAAAACAATGCAAATGTCGACTAGAGTCTTTTTGTGCCTTATTGGTTATTGGGGGTACAAGAAATGTGATACCTTTAGACTTGTCAAAAAAAAAAGAAATGTGATACCTTGAGACACTTGGAATAGGATTTGATTTGTTAATGTGTTTCCAAGTAAAATACAATGATTTAGGTTTGACATTAGTTGTGCCCATAAAGACGGCTTTCTATCTCAATTCATGGACTTCACGACTTCAAGATATGCTGTGAAAATGAATATTGAGCTAATTAGTGTTTTTTTTTATAGATTGAACTGGGTTCTAATGTAAGTGGTTTCTTATCAAGAAAATTGTATTCCAAGTTCATAGCAATGTTGCAAAATAATTGTTGCTTTGAGAGACATATTTATTGGTTGAAATTTGCTTGAGTTCTCAGAATTGTGAAACTTGAAACAAGAAGATCTGGAGTGGTTTTTTTTTTTTTTTTTTTTTTTGACTTTCTAGTAATTGTGTGCCCATAGAGGTATATAAGTTCTCTCCATATTCAATCTTGATGTGCAACGCTAACATTTTGAATTTTTTTTTTGTTCTGCTATGATTTATGCTAAAAGGTTGTACAATGTTTGTAAACATTGCATGTCGGAAGCATTTCCTAAAATCTTAATGGAATCTTGTGCTTCAGTTTTAGGATTCTTGATGTCTGATTGGAGTAGGGTTGTTTTATGTTATGATGTCACTCAACACAAGTAATGTTGCTCTAGATCATCACAATGTTACATTTCATTGATTGTAGAGTTTTTTTGAGTTATCAGAAGTGAAAATCTGAAAAGAGAAGACTTTTTGACTGTTTTTGCAATGCATTGCTTGTTTTGAATGGAATGTTAAAGACCCAATAATATTATATAAAGTACTAGGGGTGCAACTCAGGCAAATTGAGCTGGTTGAGGCTTGAGGGGTCAAACCAAAGGTATAAAGCTCTCAACCTAAGTCTGAGCTGATCCTGGCCTAATCGGACGAAGTCCAATATTAGGCTCAAGTTTTTTGGGTACTTGGGTTAGGTTTGGGTTACTCATGTACCAAATACTCACATAGGTCGGGCTTAGGTTGGGCTTGGGTCACCCGGAACACCTGCCCTAGCCCAACTCCAATTGAGGTAGGGTTGATAATTTTCAACCCAAGCCCAACTCAAGCAATTAAAGAAAGTTTTCCTAGCCCATCCAGAAGACCAGGGTTGGGCTAGTTGAGCTTGGGTTGGGTTCAGGTGGCCGGCCCAAGTTGCACTCCTATGAAATACTTGTTTTCATGATCTTTAAATGTTATAAAAAAAATATGTGATTAAGACTTTAATTAATCAATCCAAACTAAGAGAGGTTGCAAGGATAGAACTAAAGTTACTTTTCCTTTATTATTTGGCTTGGAAGTGTTGATATCTCTGTTTTTCTGGTTTGTAAAATATTACTATATATTTTTTTTTTGGCGGTATCTGCTTGAGTTATAATGTAATTAATGGATTGCCCTTTTTTTTTTCTCCTTAAATAATGGATTGTCCTTTTTGTCATAAAGCCCTCTCAACTACACAATCTTTGTTGTGGAACATAGTATGGGTCAATCTGTCATGCATGGATAAAGAGGATGTGTTTTAGCCTTCCAACTCCTGAGGATTCCTTGAATGACAGGCATTGGAAATTGGATACTAGAAGTAAAGAAACCAAGAAACATGCGGATTCCGTAGCAGATGGCAGGGTGTCAGTAAATGGGAACAGTGTTCTACAAACTAAAGCGAACTCTGGTGGAAATCATGTGAAGATGGAGCATCAAGAACAGGAAATGGTAAAGGTTAAGAATTTGGAGAATGAGCAGATAATATCAGATATATCAATCAATGAAGTGGACCAGAAAATCTCAATCAAGCCAGCAAAAGGAAAGATTGAGTAGATCCGAAAGAGTGGAGCTGTCCATGCTAAACAAGGACGTGACTTTGAAAATTCAGGTTATCCTTCAATTTTTTTTACTTCTGTTCTTGAATTCAATACATAATGGTGGGCATGCTGGAATCTTCAGCAGTGAAGAAGAAAAGCCTTTGTTTGTTGACAGTTGACATATGGGGATTTGAGTTTTGGAAATGCTATTCAGTTGGAAAAGATATGTTAAAGACAAGTTGAGGTATGTCAAGTATCGGCTTGGGATCATGTCTTCTTAGGGCTATTCTGGATGTGCAATGCAATTTCGGTAGTAATAATCCATTTCAGCTGGAACATGCAGTCAGATGTTTGGGGCAGTATAAGTGATCAAGGGGTAGTAACTCATACAACGGGAGGAAACTTTGTGCAGAGTTCCATTACTATTAATGGGTGGCACCGCGATTTCTTATGGGCACAGTCATCTCAGGTAATTCAGTCTTATGGTTCTTCATTATCTGCATATGGCCTTTTTTTTCCTCAGTGCTCTTATTGTTTGGGCTTTTAGTTTAATATTTCTATTCAGCGGAAGTGGTTATTGGCAAGAACTTATTGAATCCATCGTTTGGGCTCATAATAAATTAAAAGTTGCTCCTGCTACTCTGCTACCACGCAGATTGCTTGGATGGCTTCAACTGCAGCTGATAGCATTGCAACTTTGGAGAAAGAAGGTCTATCATTCAACAGTCCCATCTTTTGATCCTCGTGCTAACCAAGGAGAATGCCATCAAGGTTTGCTAACATTTATTCTCCTAGGTTGGATTCTCAATTGTTGTTGTTGTTTTCCTTATGACAAATGAGTCTCTTTTGACCTTATTGTTTTTAAGATTTTAACCTCTCCCTTGAGAATTTTATTCTTATCGTGTTGTTTTCCATGACATTTAAAGGTAAAATTGCCTTTATGATTTTAGTCATTGCAAAAAAATATTAGAGGCAGCAATGCCTTGAAATCTGAAAATCTAATTCTAATTGATCCAATTGTTGTTTGTGGAAATCTCAAATAATGTGGAAAGGTGTATCTTCCTCCTTTTCTTCTTTTAATTTTTGGATAAGTAAATAAATCCACTAAGATTGCCAAAACAGGGCACAACCCATGTAGACATAAGCATATAGAACATAATGCAAATGCCTAAATAAATGTCCACCCAAAAACTTAAAATGGAATCAATATAATTGGAATTTGACCCGTTAATCTGAAAAGAGATTGTTATTAACAAAAGCAGTTTTAAGTTTTAACCTCAGAACTAAAAAGCTGAGCTTTCAAAACTCATTTTATACCATATATACCACGAGGCATACGAAGACCATATCTTACACCTTCTTAACTGTCACCTGCTGACAACACCCTCTCCAACTCCTACGGAAATCCATGATTGATCTAGTCAGTCTACTCACCACGGGAGAGCGAGAAAGAACTAACACCATGTTTTTTTATACAAAAATCTTTTTCCATTTATTGTTTTGAGAAAGTAACAATTGGATATTTTTTTTAGATTTGATGAAAACTGATGATATAGTTTCATATCCTTGGAATAATAAACAACCTTTTCCTAGAACTTGAAAAGGTCTGTTTAGCAACCAAAAGAAAAAGATAACTAACTTTTCATGTGACTTGTATTGAGCCTCATTATGCCATTAATATAGTTTGTTTTGACTGCCTTTCAATTGTACTCAGGTACGCTCAGTGTGCAAGACTCTAAAAGCAAATTCATGCAGCGAGTCTACAATTATGGTTCTTCCTTAGATCACCAAATTCATGGGTAAGTGTAAGACGTCACTTTGCTTTTTTGGCAAACTTTAATGTAAATATTGACACATGCAAGACAACTACATTTTGTTATACATCTTATTTTGAATATCTGGTTTGTACAAAGTGCTACAAAGATTAACCTTGATGGACGTTGTTGACGTATGTATGCATGAACACACACATGCACTCTAGAATATGCATGGACTGAAAAGAGGCTGCGTATGCTTGAGAGATGAGCATTGTTTCTTGTGCTCATTTCATTTGGTGATGTTTGTTGTGTACATGCAATCAGAGTTTACCACTGGTAGCCCTCATTTTGATGGCCTTCTGCAACAAATATCAACTTGGAGGAGAATCTAAACTTTGTTCTGCGCAATTTTGAGCCTGAATTAGCTCGCTTATTTCATGCAGTTTTTGTTTTGGGCATTATTGTGCCTCGATCATTAAGCTGGTCAATTAATCTTGGTACATATATCTTCTTTATTGTTTTGCATGTGATGATCTAATAGGGGCCATCTTACCATGGAAGTAGGATTATGAATATACATCTCATGTGTCAGCCTAACTGCATCGCTGTTTGATGCTATTGGGTTATTGTTGGGGCAGGCGATGACCTTACGAGGGACCATCTTGGCCTGAGAGTAGGATTTTGAGTTCACTGCTCATACGTCGCTTAACTGAAATGCATGCTTCTTGTCTTATGTGCATGCATTTGTTACAGTTTGTAGCTGCACTCTCTTTTCTTTGGTTGGGGAAATTTTTACTTGCTTAGCCACCAAATTTGAATATTTTATTCGTATTCAGTACCTCCCTTTGTCTTATATGCCATACATTTTTTGATTTTAAGGACCAGAGTATTACTTGCCTGTCGTTTATTATTTTGCTAAGTAACTTCCTCTCATATATTTTGTCTTACATAAAACCACTTTTCTCTGAGTCTAAAGAGTCATGAACCAGAGTTCCTCATATCAACAAGGGGCTTATTAGTATTAGAGAAGGAATGGCAGGCTGAACTAAGTATTAGCCAACCAAGCACTAGAATACAACCCTCCAATCATACAAAACTAGCAGGGATGAGACTTTATTGATTATTGATGTGGAAGATATTTTGGAACTTCTTGATTATTGTTAATGTTCCTATCTCCTCTTTTAATTTTTATTTATTTATTGGTAATATTTAATGACATTCGATATGTTTTTGAAACCTAAATTATCTTACTTGCCTATTGCTTTCACATTATTATTTCTTACTTTGTTATAGATAAAAAAATAAAAAAAATTGAAAGGCAGCAGTTGTAAATTCAAACTAATTTATATTTGTTTGTATGGTTGTTGAAATTTCTTTGAAACTCTCTCTCTCTCTTTTTTTTTTTTCATCCTACTTTCTGTCTTCCTTCCTTGTTTCTAACTAACAGATTCTTGTTGAAAAAAGTTCCCCCCGGTTTTGGGCAATTTGTTATATTTTTCTTGTGAGTTCACCTATTGGTTTTCTGAAATAACACGTTGCAACTTGTGTGCTAATTATCTGTTCAGTCTCTGGCTTTGGTATCTTTATTTTTGTTATGTATTGTCCTTCTTCAATCTCCATTAGAATTTTTCTGATTGCCACTCTTTTATTAGTGATATAGAAGCATGCCTCATGCCTGTTGGTTTTCTGGTGTTGTTCAAACTCAATAAAAAATTAAAATGCTAACTTTGTCTAACAGAAGAGAAGGGTACTTTTAGTTGAGGTGCTTTTGCAACACGCGCGCTTTTCTGGGGATCTCTTTTTCTTCTACTTCTTGTGTTGTATGTGTGTGCGCGCGACATGTGTTATGGACATTCTGCTGTATTTTCCAGGTTCACTGAAAACCAGACACACTTACCACAGTATGTGTTAGCCTCACTGAGCAACTGTTTGAATATTATCTTATAAAAATCTGTAAGTTCTTTTAAAAGAATATGATAGAACTCTTGGTAGCAATACACATTTTTTCAATAAGTGTCTTTACTTTTCATAGACTTGTTATTTTGAGCTTTATCATCTCTTTTTGATCCCTTTTTGGCACTTTTCAGGTGGTTGATGATTTGGAAACTTCTATTAAAGGTGGTTACTTTAACATTATACAGTCCACAAGGCAAGTTATCTCTGAAATCCCCACACTATAGTTTTCAATGATTGCTTGAATTATGCACCCGCTCCACTTGTGCGCAACCTTCTGCAGGATCAATCTACCTTCTACATGTTATCACTTATTGATTCTATTGCTAGTCAAAGTGCTTGCATCATCCAGTGTGTGCCAGAAGAAAAACAATCAAAGGTATTGGCATCATTGTTAATCCTGACTCTTTGTGTTTGCTGTTAATTTGTTAGGGGGAAAACTATTACATAATCTGCATTTGTTCATTCAAGTGTCAGACCTTTTTTCCTGAATAAATAGAAGGAAGCGAACCAGTTTCTCCTAAATTTGCTGCATATTTCATATTTTTATTTGTCATGAATAAATAATACATTCTCGTTAATTTTTGTTAGTTAGTGTGAATTACTCTGACAATCCCCGAGGTTTTTCTTTATTACCTAGCTTAAACTTGTGAAAACAATTGATCAACCTCCCCTGAGGTTTGGTTGACCTTAACTCAGTTAAAAGTAAAATGAATTATCAATAATACCCTTACACGGAGTAAAATGACAAAATTAACCGTATTCACGATAATGAAATGGCCATTTAAGCCAATTTTGTTTGTACACAAATACCCTTATTTTAACACACAAATCACATATATATTATATAAAATTCACAAAATAGTTCATGCCCTCTACCACCACACCTGACACCACCGCCAGTCTCTCACCGCGTCACCTCCATCACCACACCAGTGCCCAGGAGTAATCTCTCTCTCTCTCTCAACCGCACACCCATTCCAACAAGAAAGTCTAAGCCCCGGTACTGACCTTGATAATTGCCACTGTATCATCAGTTCATAACTTGTTGAAAAGCACATGAAGCATTCCAATGTTCTGCTGCAGTGGAACTAACAGCAATAAGCATGAATTCACCATCCCCACCACCAGTGGCGAAAACAGTGGAACTAAAATCAATTGCAGTTGAAGAGAAATTAAGCACCACCACTAACTCATGCCCATTGAACTCACTTCAGATTCTTCACCACCACCTCCAGAAACTGAAACCCCATCACAAAGTCACCGATTGTCAAAGAGTCAGCACCAACCCAAAATTCGCAAACACAAAATTCGAACTTTGCTTCTGGATTTTGATTATTCGAACTCAAAATGCCTATATGTGAGTTACGTGGTGCGCTGTTAGTTGATTTAGTTGTGATTAACTCCCTAAATGACCTAGATGAGAATATTTGGTCAACTTGCCCAATTTTTGTGATTGATTAATATATCCAAGCAATATGATCAATTAAACATTCACAATCACAAAGATAAATACTAAAAAGTAAAGCAAGTAAAGTTAAACAGTTGACATCAGGATTTTAGCGAGGAAACCAATTGAAAAACCTCGAGTTTTTGTGCGCTATCCCAAGCGTAAAAAGATCCATTATGTATGAAGCAAAGTACACCGAATTTTGATGTAGACTCAAACCCCTTCGCTCTACCAAGACTCAATCTGCTGAATGTCTTTGACTTTGCAACTTTCCTTCCAACAGCTCTTGACTTCAGACTTATGCCTTGAACGAGGATCGCTAGTAGATCAACAACACTCCACAAGTGCCTTGATCCCTTCAAAGTGTGATGTGAATTTCTTCTTATTTGAATCTGAATTTGATGTAGAAGAAATAGACTTTCTGAAATTTCTGAATCTTCAATTATGCTCCAATTTTGATGAGATAAAAGAACAACACATCTAAATCACTCGTGTATATATATGTGTGCTCTCAAAATAAAAACAGAAAAATCAAATTTGATTTTTTGAAAAATATCTCTCAAAATAATGAATTCTATTTCCAAAAAGCCGTACATCAATGTTGAATAAAAGAGAGATTATATAGAAGTTCGAAAGACCTAAAAATACTTGGAAGTAAGTCCGCCCACAATAGGAATCAAAAGAGACCAGGAAGGTAAGTTACCAAAACAGATTTGAAGACTTTGAACCGGTTCAGGGTGGTTGAACCGGTTCAAGATGGCCAGTGTGATTTTCGAAGAAAAATAACATCTACACTTGAACCGGTTCAGGGTGGTTCAAGTTGGCTAGTACTAAAATTCATAAAAATACCTTTGACACTTGAACCAATTCAAGTTGTTGAGCCGGTTCAAGTTAGCCAGATTTGAAAAACACCAAAAGCCTCAAAAGTTGAACCTGTTGCAAGATTCTTGAACCAGTTCAAGTTGGGCAGAATGTGAAGTCTTCCTAAAAACTTAAGTTTCAACCTCCCAAGTGTACTCACACACTCTCTTACCTCTCTAAAGCTTTGTTCTCATCATCCTGGAGTGTATTAAAGCATAAACACTTGAACTTTTTCAATTCCACTTCCAATCTTGAATCTTGAAATTCTGAACCGAAATTGTACAACTCGATCAGACTTGTTTTGACAATAAAATTAGCTAATTACAAAATATATATCTCACAATATACATATAAGAATCCAACAAAATCCCCAAATGGATTCCAACAAGACCTATTCCTGAAAAGAGTTTCCTAGTGGTATGCACTGGTTAGATTATTGGTGTTCTGGTCAAGACGTACCCATCCCCGACGAGATTTTTGTTCACCAAAATATCCCTCTCTCTTCTCTACCATATCTGGCAGCCAGAGAGATCCAGTATCTTTTTATTCAGTTGAGTTGATTTTTAGGTTTTGGAATGGGTGGTGTGGTTGGGATGAGAGAGAGAGAGAGAGAGAGAGAGAGAGATTGTGCTGGGCAGTGGTGTAGTGGAGGAAGTGGGAATGGTGGGGGCCAGAGGTGAGTGATGGAGGTGGCGACGGTACTAGGTGGTCGGCAGTGGTGGAGGTGGCATGAACATATGTTACACACATGAAATTTAGTAATATGTGATTTGTGGGATAATTTATGTGGTTGATTTGAGTAGAGAAAACATAGGAGGAGAGGTGGTGGTTGCAGAGAGATGGTGGAAGTTGGCAGGGGCAATTGTATCTTTTGTAATTTTGAGTTGCTTAGGCCAGCCTGATACATACAATAATTATTTTAAAGATGGGTGTCGGTTATATTTCAAAAAGTGTAATCCATAGGCAATAAAGGGAAACTTGAGGGTGTCAGAGTAATTCACCCAATCTGTTATTGATAATGGACTAAAATTTGAATTTCACCTTTATTTTGAGAACAGTGATTCCAATATTTACTATGATATTTACTGTATGTTTCATACTAACACCAAAATTGTAAAGTATTCATATAATAGTGGGTGTTGTAACACTTGCATTCATATAATAGTGGGTGGTGTGACACTTACATAAAAAAAGACAATCACCGCCGCCACCACCTCTTGCAAATCCATTAAAATTTCCCACATTTTTACCAAATCCAGAAAATTCCAAACGTCTTTATCAAAGTTGTTGAGTCAAAACCTTAATTCTGTTACTAGCAATGGAATTTGAAAAGCCCTAATCTTGAATTGACGGTGTTAAAAATCACGAAACAGCCATTGGAGTGGAAGTGGAACTCGGCAACACGCCAACCAATGGAAGCTCTTAATCATCAAACTGGAAATCGAGCTTTAAGATTTTGATATTCGCCGACGAACTGAACGACATATCCACCACCTCACTAATCATCCCCGCTGCCTGGAACGACGCGTCTGGCATAGACGGATCTTAGAATCTTACATCTCTTACAATCCTACCTTTTCTACCAAAAGTGTTATTTTCTTCTTCTTCCGAATTTATTTGAGTCTACTATTAATTTTGGACTAATAAATTTAATCATTTTAAATATATAAACCCAACTCTTTAGCCTAATTATATAAAAAAAATTTAAAAATAAAAATAAAAAAACAAACTTCAAATGTAGAGAGAGAGGATCGTTATTTCAAAATTTTTCTCTATTTTGTTTTGTTCTATTTTGTTTCAAGAATTATATTTTTCCACCTATTCTTTATCAATTCTGAAACAAAAATGAAGTCATTGTAAACGTATTAATAATTACATTTTTATTGTTTATGTATCATTTTTTTGTGTTTTGACCTTATTCTTGCTATATTTAACAAATAATATTGTTTAAAAAAGTATTTTGAATTTTTTTTTTTTACAAATTGGTAGAATCTTACCATTCCGATTTTACGAACCCAAAACGATTCTACCTATGATATACATAGAGAGATTCTACCTATGATATACATAGAGAGATCTGAGTTTGTAGGGCAAACACGTCCTCCTTTACGTTGGATTAGACATTGGAAAGATATATTTTTTCTATCAAAGAGCTCATCTTGGTACTGAATAAAAAAAGCAAGAGAAAAGATACATTCCAAGAGTTGCATAGATCTATCTTGAATCTCCTTTACAAATTAAATTAAGTTGTAAAGTTGCACTTAAATCTACTATCCACCATTACATCTGCTACGTACTGAAAGCATAAGCCCCCACAACTTCTGCTTTCTCATCCATTCACTGATATATATATATATATATATATATAGCAATAGCTGACGACTATACAGCCATTGCAACCTCGCTACTGTTAACGGAGGAGCTAGAACTTAGTGAATACGATTTCCAAACATGTAGTATAGTGACTAAGACCCAGAAAACGAAGCACAGGGCTTTAGAAACTGCAATGATATTTGAAGCCGCTACGTTCTTTGAATCTTCCCTGACATTCCGCAAAAGTGATACCAGCACTAAAACAGCAGCCAACCCGGCCATGATTGCGATGACAATCACTGAAATGTGAGATCGGTAATTCTCCTCTTGCTTCAAACAACTAGGTGTGTAAAAATTTGTCACGGGTTTCACCATCTGAGTGCCGCTACAAAAGTTTATGATGTGTTGACATTCGATATAACAGCACCCAATAGGCATAATTGACAAGGCCGCGATCACCATCATTTTAAACATTGCAAAGTATACAACATAAAGACTAGTTTTTTTATATTTCAGATCTGTCGCAACATGGACAAATAAAGGCACCAAAAAAACAAGCTGCATTGTCGCATATATGCAGAAAAAGAATGATGCCGTGCAGATCTCCCAACTTTTAAAGGACCTTCTCTCCCGTTTATCATCACCCATACCTGCCCAGAGGACCAAGAAATAATAATAATAACTGATTACTAAAAAACGGCAATGATCAAAAAGTATAATTATGTGGGCATGAGAGCCCCTATCCGGATGAAGAGAAAAAAAAAAAAAAAAAACCTTGTTTCAGCAATAAAAATCGTATGCATACATAAATCTCTTTCTCAATAATACATATAGTATATAGAATTTACCAAGAGCTACCTATAATTAATTCTACAATTCTATACTGCAATTCACCGGATGTCTAAGGAAATAGTATTTTCTAAAGATTATATACTTTTTCTAAAGAATATTTTCTTTAAATATTAATTTCCTAAAGCATACAAGTTTCTTTAAAATATCTTTTCTCATCTTGGTACTGAATAAAAAAAAGCAAGAGAAAAGATACATTCCAAGAGTGCCTACTGCTTACCATTACATCTGCCAAGTACTGAAAGCAACTTCTGCTTTCTCATCCATTCACTGATATATTTATATATATAGCAATAGCTGACTATTCAGCCATTGCAACCTCGCCGTCGCTACTGTTAATGGAGGAGCTAGCAACTGAATACGATTTCCAAACATGCAGTATATAGAATTTACCAAGAGCTAACTATAATTGATTCTACAATTCTATAAGACAATTAGCTGCAATTCACCGAATGTCTAGAGAAATAGTATTTTTTCAAGATTATATACTTTTTCTAAAGAATATTTTCTTTAAATATTAATTTCCTTTCTTTAAAATATGAATTTCTTATAACTTACTTTTTAAAATACTGGTTTCTTTTGAAATAAAATATTGTTTTAATACAAGTTCCTTAATAACAAATATATACCTAAACTATAAGTTTCCTTAAATATATATTTTTATATAAATTTCCTTAGAAGCATAAATGTACTTTTTTTTAAATAACAAGTTTCCATAAAAAAATCATTAAAATAAAAATTTTCTTACAAATATATATATACATTTTTAAATTACAAAGTTTTCTTAGAAACATTTTTAATATACAAATTTCTTTATATATATATATATATATATATATATATATCCCTTAAAAATATACCTTATTAAAATATTAGCTTGCTTAGCGATATACTTTATTAAAATATAAGAGCATCTCCAGTTAAAATACTTTTTTGTGTAAAATATATATTAGAACATATGATGTGTAATTTTTATTATGTATTTTACACTACTTTTTTACACAATCACGTCATTATATTTTATTTCTCATCCCTCTTTCTCATTCCATTAACGAATCAACTCTATATTTGAGGGATATTTTTTTACACAAAAGGTATAAAATAATCAAGGGAGCTAAAAATAAATAATTCAAATTTTTGTGTAAATCTATTATGACACATTAGATTTACACAAAAATATATACACAACGGTTGGAGATACGCTAAGGTGACCTACATGAATTATATTAACAAAGTAATGGTTCAATTCCTAATATTCCAATTTTTATGCGTCAAATTATGTATACATAAAGTGGATATAAAAATAATTTTTTTTTTTTTTTTGTTTGTATATATAATTCCAACTCGACTTAAAAGAACGTTTTCTTCACCCATTTAGGATCGACTACATGAATTATATTTAATGGTATTGTTCATTTTGTTATAACCTCAATTAAATAACATAATATATAGACTATATAACTGATATGTAAATTACTTATAGCATATAAAACAAGCTCAAAAAGAAATTATTAAGGATCTTACAATTCAGTGGTATTTTCTCTACTTTTTAAATACCTTCTAAATTTTTTAATGCCTGGGAGTCCCGTCATCTAGGCAAGAAAATGTGAACTGGACCTTTGGTGATGTGATATGGATAGTCTGGTGTGTCCACATGTTATGTAGAGAGAGGGTTTGTTCACAATGGTAGTCATTTCCATGTCAAGTTGTGGAATTAACATGGGGTTCATTACAAGACAAAAAGACAGTTCCAAGGCAAAGTTATTTCAGGAATTTTTATTTATTTTCTTCTTATTTTCCTCACAAATTAATTGTAGGAGGAAATACTCAAAGGAATGACAAAGATGAGGAAGGAAACTCATCATCTTGAGTTAAGTCTGCAATGCTACAAGGGGGATTTGAGTTCTGTGAGGTATAATGATCTGGATGAACAACAGTTGAAACAGTCACTCAACAAGGTTCAAACTCGAAAGGTACATTTTTTTTTAATTATTTTTTTCACTCATTCATTGTTTTCACATTTTAATTAAGCTTTCTGTACCTGCATTTTAGACTTTTAGCACCAATCCTAAATTTAATTATTGATATGTACCATTGGGTGAGTAATCACCAAAAAAAAAATAATGCTTATTATAAGCATGCATTTCCAAGCTTCTTGCAAACAAGCTCAGCCTTGTACTGCCATTAATTATCAACCCTGCACAGAATGCATTTGTGAAGGACAGACAGATCACTGATAACATATTACTCGCCCATGAACTCCTAAATGGTTACTGTAGATCCAACCATTCACCATGTTGTATAATGAAGATTGACCTTAGGAAGGCCTTTGATTCACTACATTGGCAATTCATACCTGATACACTCCATTTATTTGGGTTCCCTTCTCAGTTTATACAATGGATTGCCCAATGTATCTCAACACCTTCTTACTCCATATCACTAAATGGAGAACTTTTTGGTTTTTTCAAGGGGAAAAGGGAGATTAGACAAGGGGACCCCATCTCTCCTATGCTGTTTGTTCTTGCTATGGAGGTACTTTCCTTATCTCTTGGCAATGCAGTTTCAAACAGCCCAAGTTTTAAGTTTCATTGGAGGTGCAATAAGCTTTCCATTACACACCTTGCCTTTGCTGATGACTTGTTACTTTTCTCATTTGGTAATCTTGCATTTGTCACTGTGTTGCACAATGTATTAACAAGGTTCCTACAATGGTCTGGTCTCTCAATTAATTGTTCAAAGAGCCATGTTTTCTTCTCTGGGGTAGATAACCAAACCAAAGTAGCTATACTCAACCTCCTGCTGTTTGATGCTGGTGTCTTGCCATTAACTTACCTTGGTTTACCTTTGACTTCATCTGCAATTAGTGCAACAGATTGCCAATCCCTTGTTCAAAAGATCACAGTTAGAATTTGCTCTTGAACTTTAAGATTCCTCTCATATGCAGTTAGAGCTGTACTGCTCAAATCCATCCTCCACTCTATCCAAACTTATTGGTCTCAAACATTCATCTTACCCCAAAAAGTCATTGAACAAGTCAACTAGATCTTGAGAAGATTCTACTGGTCTGGAATTGAATTGAGGAAAAGTGATGCTAAGGTTGCCTGGGCTGCCATTTGTAGGCCTAAAAACAATGGTGGTTTAGGTTTTGATTGTATTGATTTAGCTAATAGAGTTGCAGGTCTCAACCATATTTGGAAATTATGTGCAAAGAAGAATAGTCTTTGGGTGAATTGGACCTACAAGTATCTCATCAAGAATAAGAACTTTTGGACTGTTAAACCAACTTCACTCAGTTCTGGGTTTTGGAGGAAATTACTGAAGCAAAAGGAAATGGCTAGAAGGGTAATCAAGCATAGGATTGGAACAGGTCCTGATACTATGATGTGGATTGATTTTTGGCTTCCAAATGGTCCACTTTATTCTCAGCTGGGGCTTTCTGAGGTGGAAATTCTTCAACTTGACACAAGTGTCAAAGTTGATAGCCTAATTTCCAACTCTCAGTGGTCAATTCCAGCCTCTCTTCAGCAGATTCCTTTCTTAAATTCCAACTCCTTCAATTCTCAGTTGCATAGCTTGCATACCCCCTCAGCTTCACCTGACTTGATTGAATGGTTACCAAGTTTAACCACTGGATTTTCACAGAGGACCACAATGGATTACTTCTGCCCTCCCTCACTGTCATTTAGTTGGCACAAACTTGTTTAGTTTAAGCACAACATTCCCAAACACAATCATATTTTCTGGATGGCTGTCAAAGAGAGACTTTACACTCTTGATTCAAAGCCTATGCAACATAAACGTACACTACACCAATAGATGCTACCTTTGTATGTTTGGTTGGGAGTCACTGGATCACCTATTCTTCAAGTGCCCATTCAGTAGCTTAATTTGGGAATTCATACAGAATGTTGTTGGGTTCTACATTAGGCTTAATTGTTGGACTGATCTCATTACATGGTGTTCATCCAACTGGCAAATGAATCATTTCACATTGCATAAGCTCTTGCTCTCGGCTGCTGTCTACTTTATCTGGTTTGAAAGGAATGCTAGGGCCTTCAAAAATAAGGCTTCCAGTGCTCAACACATCATTCAACTCATCAAAAGTTGCATCAGATCAAGACTATCATCACTGGTTTTGAAGAAGGAGGCTGAGCTTAACCAAAGGCATTCAATGGAGGGTTTGCAGAAGATGTTCCTTGATGGATGTGCATTTGCTGGCAGCCACACATGGCTTCTTTCAGATGATTAACCAATTATAGAGGTTGTTTTATAGGTCTTAGGGATGTTCAATCGAAGTTGGCGTTGATGTATACTACTGTTTGGTGATGTTTTTGCTTGTTCACGTTTGGTTTTTGTTTTGCTGTTCACTCCCCATACCTGGGGGTATCCTGTACATTTTATTCTTTTCTTTCTTAATATATGCTTACCTTTTAACTATAAAAAAAAAAAAGAGAACAAACAAATTGCAACAAAACCTTATATCACTTACTATTACTAAACCACCATTCTTAAATTGAAATTAAAATAATATATATCACTACTATTACTAACCCTTCTTTAATTGAAACACACTAAACTAATTAAACCTAATTAAATATGCGTACCTGAAAGAGCACAATGTGATAAAATTATCAATATGTTTATTTTTCCTATTAATCAAAGTAGTGTGAAACAATAGCATGGGGACCAATTTTTTTTTTGAAAAATAATAGAGCTATATTATATATATATATATATATATATATATATATATATATATATATATATATTATTTTGTTTCATTACAGACCCAAAAAAAAAAAAATGTAAATGATTTTATATGTATAATTGAAAAAATTAAAAATTTCTTACCAAAATTTATTAGGAAGAATAAACAAATAATTAGAAAGCATTACATAAAATATGAAATTATATTTGTATAGTATTTAAATAATTTCAGACCTAAAGAAATAAATATTTATATTTAATATGATTGGTACTGAAAGTAAAATTGTATAATCTGTAACCTACAAAACAAATATTTATAGAGTATAATATGTTTCCTACTAGCACCAAAATTGTAAAGCATTCATATAATAGTGGTGTTGAAACACTTATATAAAGAAAAACAATCACCACCACCCACCACCACCTCTTGCAAATCCATTAAAATTTCCCACTTTTTTACCAAACCCAGAAAATTTCAAACATCTTTATCAAAGATGTTGAGTCAAAACCTTAATTCTGTTATTAGCAATGGAATTTGAAAAGCCCTAATCTTGAATTGAAGATGTTAAAATTCACGAAACAGCCATTGTGAGTGGAAGGGGAACTCGGCAACACGCCAACTGCCAATGGAAGCTCTTAATCATCAAACTGGAAATCGAGCTTTAAGATTTCGATATTAGCTGACGAACTGAACGACATGTCCACCACCTCACTCATAAACCACACAACTTCTGATTTCGTTACATTGGATTAGACTTTGGAAAGATATATATATATTTTTTTATCAAAGAGCTCATCTTTGTACTGAATAAAAAAAAAAAAAAGCAAGAGAGAAGATACATTCCAGGAGTGCCTACTGCTTTATATTATCATGCATAGATTTATCTTTAATCTCCTTTGCAACTTAAATTATGTTGCAGAGTTGCACTTAAATCTACCATATATCCACCATTACATCTGCCAAGTACTGAAGGCATAAGCCACACAACTGCTTTCTCATCCATTCACAGAACAATAATGGTGTCTTTTGGACTTGAACCATTACCTAGTATAAGGACCCTTCATTTCATCTAGGAACTTAGTGAATGATGTCTTGAACCAAGAACCAAAAATACTACACACACACTTCTGTTCGGAGATAAAGTACTAAAACTTGACACGTTTCGGCTATGTGTCTGGAATCCATACTTCTGAGTGTCGTTAAGGATCAATCCTGTCTAGATCCTATAGAAGCGGCCCTACTTCCACACTCAGATCGGCCTTGAATTCTCTTGGCCGAATCTCCATCTTCCTTACCAACTCTCGGCTCTCTCTTTCTATGCCTCTCTGTTTCTCACGCCCTCTCTTTATGTCTGTTTAATGGGTTTATAACAACTCTATGTAGACTCATAATATATATATATATATAGGCTTAAAATAAAACCCTAATTCCATTTCTTCCCCAACTCTAATTTAAGGGAAAAATAAAAATAAAAATAAAAATACAGATGCATATAACTTTTAAGTCTGTAACGTGAGTACACACATATATATTTATATATCTAAATATATAATTAATTTATAACTATATATATAAACTAACTATATTCATTAATATTAATTATTTAAAATACCAATAAATATAATATCCTAGGAAACATATATACCTATATATATATGTACCACTATCTATGGGTAATTATCCGTACCCACTGATAACACTATCCAAGTAGTCCATGTGACCCATGGGTTTGGTCCATTACTACTATCCTTAACCATTAAAATAAAAGAGAATAAAATAAAACAAACATTTAAGTTATTTAATTCCCAACAAATAATTATAAGTAAACACCTAACATATAAGCAACCAAATACTAATAATTTATCGTACAGTAAAAACGAACAACTTATTTCAAATAAACAGATAAACAATTAATTCAAATAAGCAATTAAACAAATAACCAAGAAATCAAAGAAATAATATAAAAATGCAAATAAAACAATTAAATAACTACCGAGACTATCTTTTTAAAATTAGGGGTATTACATGGACCAATTAAAATTAATTTCCAGTAGCCAAAGTACTGTTTGGGCCACAATCGGCAGCTCCTCCGTTTCATTTCAGACCACCGAAGTGCTAAGCTTCACTTCGGCAGACTCTCTTCATCATTTCGGACGATCAGAACGTTGAGTCCCATTTCGGCAGTCCGAAACACCATTTCGGACAACCAGTTTGTCTTCTGCTTGTAAGACCTTGTTTGGTTATTGTCCTTGCATGATATTAATGTATATGTATGCTTCCATTTTACACTTTTGTTCTTGTATGAGCCATTCTATGGCGTTCATGACCTAGTTCATGTCTCTTGAGTGCCATTAGTATCGGAATGTACCATTTGACCCTTTTTGCTTTTGCTTCCACATTTATGATTCGTTATCGGGATGGATTTCACATCATTCCAGTTGATGCACCGGATTCCACGAATTTGGGGCATCACAGAAAATAATAACAGTGTTTAATAATACATTTTTGTTACAGATTTACATTACATTTTTTTATTATTTTATTCTAATTTTAATTTTTTTCATTAGTACAAAAAAAAACCTTAAATATGTATGCAATTCAATTATGGTGTTGCTTGTAGAAAAATAGGACATGTTTGTCATTCATGAAGAAAGAAAAAAAGAAATAAATAGTGACAATAAAATTAGCTAATTACAAAATATATATCTCACAATATACATATAAGAATCCAACAAAATCCCCAAATGGATTCCAACAAGACCTATTCCTGAAGAGAGTTTCCCAGTGGTATGCACTGGTTAGATTATTGGTGTTCTGGTCAAGACGTACCCATCCCCGACGAGATTTTTGTTCACCAAAATATCCCTCTCTCTTCTCTACCATATCTGGCAACCAGAGAGATCCACTATCTTTTTATTCAGTTGAGTTGATTTTTAGGTTTTGGAATGGGTGGTGTGGTTGGGATGAGAGAGAGAGAGAGAGAGAGAGAGAGATTGTGCTGGGCAGTGGTGTAGTGGAGGAAGTGGGAATGGTGGGGGCCAGAGGTGAGTGATGGAGGTGGCGACGGTACTAGGTGGTCGGCAGTGGTGGAGGTGGCATGAACATATGTTACACATATGAAATTTAGTAATATGTGATTTGTGGGATAATTTCTGTGGTTGATTTGAGTAGAGAAAACATAGGAGGAGAGGTGGTGGTTGCAGAGAGATGGTGGAAGTTGGCAGGGGCAATTGTATCTTTTGTAATTTTGAGTTGCTTAGGCCAGCCTGATACATACAATAATTATTTTAAAGACGGGTGTCGGTTATATTTCAAAAAGTGTAATCCATAGGTAATAAAGGGAAACATGGGGGTGTCAGAGTAATTCACCCAATTTGTTATTGATAATGGACTAAAATTTAAATTTCACCTTTATTTTGAGAACAGTGATTCCAATATTTACTATGATATTTACTGTATGTTTCATACTAACACCAAAATTGTAAAGCATTCATATAATAGTGGGAGTTATAACACTTGCATTAATATAATAGTGGGTGGTGTAACACTTACATAAAAAAAGACAATCACCGCCACCACCACCTCTTGCAAATCCATTAAAATTTCCCGCGTTTTTACCAAACCCAGAAAATTCCAAACGTCTTTATCAAAGTTGTTGAGTCAAAACCTTAATTCTGTTACTAGCAATGGAATTTGAAAAGCCCTAATCTTGAATTGAAGGTGTTAAAAATCACGAAACAGCCATTGGAGTGGAAGTGGAACTCGGCAACACGCCAACCAATGGAAGCTCTTAATCATCAAACTGGAAATCGAGCTTTAAGATTTTGATATTCGCCGACGAACTGAACGACATATCCACCACCTCACTAATCATCCCCGCTGCCTGGAACGACGCATCTTACATCTCTTACAATCCTACCTTTTCTACCAAAAGTGTTATTTTCTTCTTCTTCCGAATTTATTTGAGTCTACCATTAATTTTGGACTAATAAATTTAATCATTTTAAATATATAAACCCAACTCTTTAGCCTAATTATATAAAAAAATTTAAAAATAAAAATAAAAAAACAAACTTCAAATGTAGAGACGATCGTTTAAAATTTCAAAAATTTTCTCTATTTTGTTTTGTTCTATTTTGTTTCAAGAATTATATTTTTCCATCTATTCTTTATCAATTCTGCAACGTATTAATAATTACATTTTTATTGTTTATGTATCATTTTTTTGTGTTTTGACCTTATTCTTGCTATATTTTACAAATAATATTGTTTAAGAAAGTATTTTGATTTTTTTTTTTTTTTTACAAATTGGTAAAATCTTACCATTCCGATTTTACGAACCCAAAACGATCTACCTATGATATACATAGAGAGATCTGAGTTTGTAGGGCAAACACGTCCTCCTTTACGTTGGATTAGACATTGGAAAGATATATTTTTTCTATCAAAGAGCTCATCTTGGTACTGAATAAAAAAAGCAAGAGAAAAGATACATTCCAAGAGTTGCATAGATCTATCTTGAATCTCCTTTACAAATTAAATTAAGTTGTAAAGTTGCACTTAAATCTACTATCCACCATTACATCTGCTACGTACTGAAAGCATAAGCCCCCACAACTTCTGCTTTCTCATCCATTCACTGATATATATATATATATATATATATATAGCAATAGCTGACGACTATACAGCCATTGCAACCTCGCTACTGTTAACGGAGGAGCTAGCACTTAGTGAATACGATTTCCAAACATGTAGTATGGTGACTAAGACCCAGAAAACGAAGCACAGGGCTTTAGAAACTGCAATGATATTTGAAGCCGCTACGTTATTTGAATCTTCCCTGACATTCCGCAAAAGTGATACCAGCACTAAAACAGCAGCCAACCCGGCCATGATTGCGATGACAATCACTGAAATGTGAGATCGGTAATTCTCCTCTTGCTTCAAACAACTAGGTGTGTAAAAATTTGTCACGGGTTTCACCATCTGAGTGCCGCTACAAAAGTTTATGATGTGTTGACATTCGATATAACAGCACCCAATAGGCATAATTGACAAGGCCGCGATCACCATCATTTTAAACATTGCAAAGTATACAACATAAAGACTAGTTTTTTTATATTTCAGATCTGTCGCAACATGGACAAATAAAGGCACCAAAAAAACAAGCTGCATTGTCGCATATATGCAGAAAAAGAATGATGCCGTGCAGATCTCCCAACTTTTAAAGGACCTTCTCTCCCGTTTATCATCACCCATACCTGCCCAGAGGACCAAGAAATAATAATAATAACTGATTACTAAAAAACGACAATGATCAAAAAGTATAATTATGTGGGCATGAGAGCCCCTATCCGGATGAAGAGAAAAAAAAAAAAAAAAAACCTTGTTTCAGCAATAAAAATCGTATGCATACATAAATCTCTTTCTCAATAATACATATAGTATATAGAATTTACCAAGAGCTACCTATAATTAATTCTACAATTCTATACTGCAATTCACCGGATGTCTAAGGAAATAGTATTTTCTAAAGATTATATACTTTTTCTAAAGAAAATTTTCTTTAAATATTAATTTCCTAAAGCATACAAGTTTCTTTAAAATATGAATTTCTTATAACTTACTTTTTAAAATACATGTTTCTTTTGAAATAAAATATTGTTTTAATACAAGTTCCTTAATAACAAATATATACCTAAACTATAAGTTTCCTTAAAAATATATTTTTATATAAATTTCCTTAGAAACATAAATGTACTTTTTTTTAAATAACAAGTTTCCATAAAAAAACATAACTGAAAAAGTATTGTTCATTTAGTTATGACCTCAATTAAATAACATAATATATAGACTATATAACTGATATGTAATTTACTTTTAACATATAAAATAAGTTCAAAAAAAAATTACCTAGGATCATATAATCCAATGGTATGTTCTCTACTTTTTAAATACCTTCTAAATTTTTTAATGCTTGGGAGTCCCGTCATCTAGGCAAGAAAATGTGAACTGGACCTTTGGTGATGTGATATGGATAGTCTGGTGTGTCCGCATGTTATGTAGAGAGGGTTTGTTCACAATGGTAGTCATTTCCATGTAAAGTTGTGGAATTAACATGGGGTTCATTACAAGACAAAAAGACGGTTCCAAGGCAAAGTTGTTTCAGGAATTTTTATTTATTTTCTTGTTATTTTCCTCACAAATTAATTGTAGGAGGAAATATTCAAAGAGATGACAAAGATGAGGAAGGAAACTCATCATCTTGAGTTCAGTCTGCAAAGCTACAAGGGGGATTTGAGTTCTGTGAAGTATAATGATCTGGATGAACAACAGCTGGAACAGTCACTCAACAAGATTCGAGCTCCAAAGGTACATTTTTTTCCAATTATTTTTTTCTCTCATTCATTGATTTCACATTTTAATTAAGCTTTCTGTACCTCCATTTTAGACTTTTAGCACCAATCCTAAATTTAATTATTGATATGCACCATTGGGTGAGTACAGTAATCACCAAAAAAAAATAATGCTTATTATAAGTAGTATATATGTTAAGCATGTAATAATGTAAAAATTCTTTTAGTGAAAGCAATCCTAAATTTAATTATTGATATCAAAATGATCTTTACTTAGTTCCAGTACATCCCAATAATCAATATTTTACATCTAAAATTAATGTTATTATCATGAATTAATTTTACATGGTAAACTTTTAATTATCTTGATAAATAGAGAATTAACTAACAATACAAGTACTTTGCTATTAAGTAGTTGATGAGGCCCCGGAGGCGTAGCAGTGAAGGTAGGAGCTCGGCGCTTGCACTCCACAGGCCAATGTTCGAACCTCCCAAGCCTCCTATGTTCTTCTTGTCCCTTCTATGGAGGAAGAGCAGCAGCCCAGTGGTGTGCTTCAGCTGGAGCATTGGTCTATTGTATTGGCTGTTTACTTGTTGGGATTCTTGAATTGGTTATGTTATTGGCTGATTTTTATTTATTTCAAAGATGGGCCAGAGGCAGTTGCAAATCTGTTCATTTGTTTCTTTTTTTCTTTCTTCCGGTTTATCCTTTTTAGGGAGTTATGCAACTTTGTTGAATGTATAATAAAGATATTTTTTCATGGGATTCCTGTTGGAATCAAAGAGAGATTTCTGCTATATGTTTATGAGCTTTGTGTGTATGCCTAACCTGTACATAGATCCTCTTCAAAAAAATAAAAATAAAAATAAATAAATCTGGGTAATCATAAAAAGCTTAGAGAATTAAAAAATAATAATAAATAAAATTGGCCAATCACCAGCATTCATTTAAGGATTCGACGATCGTTTAAAATTTCAAAATTTTCCTCTGTTTATGTCTCAATTTTTTATGTTTTGACCTTATTCTTGCTCTATTTTACAAACAATATTGTTTAAAAAAGTATTTTGAATTTTTTTTTATTTTTTTATAAATTGGTAGAATCTTACCATTTACAATTCTGATTTTACGACAATTGGAATCCCCATATATATATATATGATTTTAACAACCTTTCACCCAATAATATATAGAGAAATATACAGATATATATATATACACACACATATAGAGAGAGAGAAATTGGAGATCTGAGTTTGTAGGGCACGCACGTCCTTCTTTACATTGGATTAGACTTTGGAAAGATATATTTTTTCTATCAAAGAGTTCATCTTGGTACTGAATAAAAAAAAGCAAGAGAAAAGATACATTCTAAGAGTGCCTACTGCTTTATATTATCACGCATAGATCTATCTTCAATCTCCTTTACAAATTAAATTCAGTTGTAAAGTTGCACTTAAATCTATCCACGTACTGAAAGCAACTTCTGCTTTCTCATCCATTCACTGATATATATATATATATATATATATATATAGCAATAGCTGACTATACAGCCATTGCAACCTCGCCGTCGCTACTGTTAATGGAGGAGCTAGCAAGTGTACGATTTCCAAACATGTAGTATATAGAATTTACCAAGAGCTAACTATAATTAATTCTACAATTCTATAAGACAATTAGCTGCAATTCACCGGATGTCTAAAGAAATAGTATTTTTTTAAGATTATATACTTTTTCTAAAGAATATTTTCTTTAAATATTAATTTCCTTTCTTTAAAATATGAATTTCTTATAACTTACTTTTTAAAATTCTTGTTTCTTTTGAAATAAAATATTGTTTTAATACAAGTTCCTTAATAACAAATATATACCTAAACTATAAGTTTCCTTAAATATATATTTTTATATAAATTTCCTTATAAGCATAAATGTACTTTTTTTTTAAATAACAAGTTTCCATAAAAAAATCATTAAAATATAAATTTTCTTACAAATATATATATACATTTTTAAATTACAAAGTTTTCTTAGAAACATTTTTAAAATACAAATTTCTTTATATATATATATTTCTCTTAAAAATATACCTTATTAAAATATTCGCTTGCTTAGCAATATACTTTATTAAAATATAAGAGCATCTCCAGTTAAAATACTTTTTTGTGTAAAATATATACTAGAACATATGATGTGTAATTTTTATTATGTATTTTACACGGCCTTTTTACACAACCACGTCATTATATTTCATTTCTCATCCCTCTTTCTCATTCCATTAACGAATCAACCCTATATTTGAGGGATATTTTTTTTTCACAAAAGGTATAAAATAACCAAGGGAGCTAAAAATAAATAATTCAAATTTTTAGGCAAATCTATTATGATACATCAGATTTACACAAAAACATATACACAATGGTCGGAGATATGCTAAGGTGACCTACATGAATTATATTAACAAAGTAATGATTCAATTCCTAATATTCCAATTTTTATGCGTCAAATTATGTATACATAAAGTGGATATAAAAATAGTTTTTATTTATTTATTTATTTATTTTTTGTTTGTATATATAATTCTAACTCAGACTTAAAAGAACGTTTTCTTCACCCATTTAGGATCGACTACATGAATTATATTTAAAGGTATTGTTCATTTAGTTATAACCTCAATTAAATAACATAATATATAGACTATATAACTGATATGTAAATTACTCATAGCATATAAAATAAGCTCAAAAAGAAATGATCAAGGATCTTATAATTCATTGGTATTTTCTCTACTTTTTAAATACCTTCTAAATTTTTTAATGCTTGGGAGTCCCGTCGTCTAGGCAAGAAAATGTGAACTGGACCTTTGGTGATGTGATATGGATAGTCTGGTGTGTCCACATGTTATGTAGAGAGAGGGTTTGTTCACAATGGTAGTCATTTCCATGTAAAGTTGTGGAATTAACATGGGGTTCATTACAAGACAAAAAGACAGTTCCAAGGCAAAGTTATTTCAGGAATTTTTATTTATTTTCTTCTTATTTTCCTCAAAAATTAATTGTAGGAGGAAATATTCAAAGGGATAACAAAGATGAGGAAGGAAACTCATCATCTTGAGTCAAGTCTGTAATGCTACAAGGGGTATTTGAGTTCTGTGAGGTATAATGATCTGGATGAACAACAGCTGGAACAGTCACTCAACAAGGTTCAAGCTCGAAAGGCACATTTTTTTTTTTAATTATTTTTTTCTCTCATTCATTGTTTTCACGTTTTAATTAAGCTTTCTGTACCTGCATTTTAGACTTTTAGCACCAATCCTAAATTTAATTATTGATATGTACCATTGGGTGAGTAATCACCAAAAAAAAAATAATGCTTATTATAAGCATGCATTTCCAAGCTTCTTGCAAACAAGCTCAGCCTTGTACTGCCATTAATTATCAACCCTGCACAGAATGCATTTGTGAAGGACAGACAGATCACTGATAACATATTACTCGCCCATGAACTCCTAAATGGTTACTGTAGATCCAACCATTCACCATGTTGTATAATGAAGATTGACCTTAGGAAGGCCTTTGATTCACTACATTGGCAATTCATACCTGATACACTCCATTTATTTGGGTTCCCTTCTCAGTTTATACAATGGATTGCCCAATGTATCTCAACACCTTCTTACTCCATATCACTAAATGGAGAACTTTTTGGTTTTTTCAAGGGGAAAAGGGAGATTAGACAAGGGGACCCCATCTCTCCTATGCTGTTTGTTCTTGCTATGGAGGTACTTTCCTTATCTCTTGGCAATGCAGTTTCAAACAGCCCAAGTTTTAAGTTTCATTGGAGGTGCAATAAGCTTTCCATTACACACCTTGCCTTTGCTGATGACTTGTTACTTTTCTCATTTGGTAATCTTGCATCTGTCACTGTGTTGCACAATGTATTAACAAGGTTCCTACAATGGTCTGGTCTCTCAATTAATTGTTCAAAGAGCCATGTTTTCTTCTCTGGGGTAGATAACCAAACCAAAGTAGCTATACTCAACCTCCTGCTGTTTGATGCTGGTGTCTTGCCATTAACTTACCTTGGTTTACCTTTGACTTCATCTGCAATTAGTGCAACAGATTGCCAATCCCTTGTTCAAAAGATCACAGTTAGAATTTGCTCTTGAACTTTAAGATTCCTCTCATATGCAGTTAGAGCTGTACTGCTCAAATCCATCCTCCACTCTATCCAAACTTATTGGTCTCAAACATTCATCTTACCCCAAAAAGTCATTGAACAAGTCAACTAGATCTTGAGAAGATTCTACTGGTCTGGAATTGAATTGAGGAAAAGTGATGCTAAGGTTGCCTGGGCTGCCATTTGTAGGCCTAAAAACAATGGTGGTTTAGGTTTTGATTGTATTGATATAGCTAATAGAGTTGCAGGTCTCAACCATATTTGGAAATTATGTGCAAAGAAGAATAGTCTTTGGGTGAATTGGACCTACAAGTATCTCATCAAGAATAAGAACTTTTGGACTGTTAAACCAACTTCACTCAGTTCTGGGTTTTGGAGGAAATTACTGAAGCAAAAGGAAATGGCTAGAAGGGTAATCAAGCATAGGATTGGAACAGGTCCTGATACTATGATGTGGATTGATTTTTGGCTTCCAAATGGTCCACTTTATTCTCAGCTGGGGCTTTCTGAGGTGGAAATTCTTCAACTTGACACAAGTGTCAAAGTTGATAGCCTAATTTCCAACTCTCAGTCGTCAATTCCAGGCTCTCTTTAGCAGATTCCTTTCTTAAATTCCAACTCCTTCAATTCTCAGTTGCATAGCTTGCATACCCCCTCAGCTTCACCTGACTTGATTGAATGGTTACCAAGTTTAACCACTGGATTTTCACAGAGGACCACAATGGATTACTTCTGCCCTCCCTCACTGTCATTTAGTTGGCACAAACTTGTTTAGTTTAAGCACAACATTCCCAAACATAGTCATATTTTCTGGATGGCTGTCAAAGAGAGACTTTACACTCTTGATTCAAAGCCTATGCGACATAAACGTACACTATACCAATAGATGCTACCTTTGTATGTCTGGTTGGGAGTCACTGGATCACCTATTCTTCAAGTGCCCATTCAGTAGCTTAATTAGGGAATTCATACAGAATGTTGTTGGGTTCTACATTAGGCTTAATTGTTGGACTGATCTCATTACATGGTGTTCATCCAACTGGCAAATGAATCATTTCACATTGCATAAGCTCTTGCTCTCGGCTGCTGTCTACTTTATCTGGTTTGAAAGGAATGCTAGGGCCTTCAAAAATAAGGCTTCCAGTGCTCAACACATCATTCAACTCATCAAAAGTTGCATCAGATCAAGACTATCATCACTGGTTTTGAAGAAGGAGGCTGAGCTTAACCAAAGGCATTCAATGGAGGGTTTGCAAAAGATGTTCCTTGATGGATGTGCATTTGTTGGCAGCCACACATGGCTTCTTTCAGATGATTAACCAATTCTAGAGGTTGTTTTATAGGTCTTAGGGATGTTCAATCGAAGTTGGCGTTGATGTATACTACTGTTTGGTGATGTTTTTGCTTGTTCACGTTTGGTTTTTGTTTTGCTGTTCACTCCCCATACCTGGGGGTATCCTGTACATTTTATTCTTTTCTTTCTTAATATATGCTTACCTTTTAACTATAAAAAAAAAAAAAGAGAACAAACAAATTGCAACAAAACCTTATATCACTTACTATTACTAAACCACCATTCTTAAATTGAAATTAAAATAATATATATCACTACTATTACTAACCCTTCTTTAATTGAAACACACTAAACTAATTAAACCTAATTAAATATGCGTACCTGAAAGAGCACAATGTGATAAAATTATCAATATGTTTATTTTTCCTATTAATCAAAGTAGTGTGAAACAATAGCATGGGGACCAATTTTTTTTTTGAAAAATAATAGAGCTATATTATATATATATATATATATATATATATATATATATATATTATTTTGTTTCATTACAGACCCAAAAAAAAAAAAAATGTAAATGATTTTATATGTATAATTGAAAAAATTAAAAATTTCTTACCAAAATTTATTAGGAAGAATAAACAAATAATTAGAAAGCATTACATAAAATATGAAATTATATTTGTATAGTATTTAAATAATTTCAGACCTAAAGAAATAAATATTTATATTTAATATGATTGGTACTGAAAGTAAAATTGTATAATCTGTAACCTACAAAACAAATATTTATAGAGTATAATATGTTTCCTACTAGCACCAAAATTGTAAAGCATTCATATAATAGTGGTGTTGAAACACTTATATAAAGAAAAACAATCACCACCACCCACCACCACCTCTTGCAAATCCATTAAAATTTCCCACTTTTTTACCAAACCCAGAAAATTTCAAACATCTTTATCAAAGATGTTGAGTCAAAACCTTAATTCTGTTATTAGCAATGGAATTTGAAAAGCCCAAATCTTGAATTGAAGATGTTAAAATTCACGAAACAGCCATTGTGAGTGGAAGTGGAACTCGGCAACACGCCAACTGCCAATGGAAGCTCTTAATCATCAAACTGGAAATCGAGCTTTAAGATTTCGATATTAGCTGACGAACTGAACGACATGTCCACCACCTCACTCATAAACCACACAACTTCTGATTTCGTTACATTGGATTAGACTTTGGAAAGATATATATTTTTTTTATCAAAGAGCTCATCTTTGTACTGAATAAAAAAAAAAAAAAGCAAGAGAGAAGATACATTCCAGGAGTGCCTACTGCTTTATATTATCATGCATAGATCTATCTTTAATCTCCTTTGCAACTTAAATTATGTTGCAGAGTTGCACTTAAATCTACCATATATCCACCATTACATCTGCCAAGTACTGAAGGCATAAGCCACACAACTGCTTTCTCATCCATTCACAGAACAATAATGGTGTCTTTTGGACTTGAACCATTACCTAGTATAAGGACCCTTCATTTCATCTAGGAACTTAGTGAACGATGTCTTGAACCAAGAACCAAAAATACTACACACACACTTCTGTTCGGAGATAAAGTACTAAAACTTGACACGTTTCGGCTATGTGTCTGGAATCCATACTTCTGAGTGTCGTTAAGGATCAATCCTGTCTAGATCCTATAGAAGCGGCCCTACTTCCACACTCAGATCGGCCTTGAATTCTCTTGGCCGAATCTCCATCTTCCTTACCAACTCTCGGCTCTCTCTTTCTATGCCTCTCTGTTTCTCACGCCCTCTCTTTATGTCTGTTTAATGGGTTTATAACAACTCTATGTAGACTCATAATATATATATATATAGGCTTAAAATAAAACCCTAATTCCATTTCTTCCCCAACTCTAATTTAAGGGAAAAATAAAAATAAAAATAAAAATACAGATGCATATAACTTTTAAGTCTGTAACGTGAGTACACACATATATATTTATATATCTAAATATATAATTAATTTATAACTATATATATAAACTAACTATATTCATTAATATTAATTATTTAAAATACCAATAAATATAATATCCTAGGAAACATATATACCTATATATATATGTACCACTATCTATGGGTAATTATCCGTACCCACTGATAACACTATCCAAGTAGTCTATGTGACCCATGGGTTTGGTCCATTACTACTATCCTTAACCATTAAAATAAAAGAGAATAAAATAAAACAAACATTTAAGTTATTTAATTCCCAACAAATAATTATAAGTAAACACCTAACATATAAGCAACCAAATACTAATAATTTATCGTACAGTAAAAACGAACAACTTATTTCAAATAAACAGATAAACAATTAATTCAAATAAGCAATTAAACAAATAACCAAGAAATCAAAGAAATAATATAAAAATGCAAATAAAACAATTAAATAACTACCGAGATTATCTTTTTAAAATTAGGGGTATTACATGGACCAATTAAAATTAATTTCCAGTAGCCAAAGTACTGTTTGGGCCACAATCGGCAGCTCCTCCGTTTCATTTCAGACCACCGAAGTGCTAAGCTTCACTTCGGCAGACTCTCTTCATCATTTCGGACGATCAGAACGTTGAGTCCCATTTCGGCAGTCCGAAACACCATTTCGGACAACCAGTTTGTCTTCTGCTTGTAAGACCTTGTTTGGTTATTGTCCTTGCATGATATTAATGTATATGTATGCTTCCATTTTACACTTTTGTTCTTGTATGAGCCATTCTATGGCGTTCATGACCTAGTTCATGTCTCTTGAGTGCCATTAGTATCGGAATGTACCATTTGACCCTTTTTGCTTTTGCTTCCACATTTATGATTCGTTATCGGGTCGGATTTCACATCATTCCAGTTGATGCACCGGATTCCACGAATTTGGGGCATCACAGAAAATAATAACAGTGTTTAATAATACATTTTTGTTACAGATTTACATTACATTTTTTTATTATTTTATTCTAATTTTAATTTTTTTCATTAGTACAAAAAAAAACCTTAAATATGTATGCAATTCAATTATGGTGTTGCTTGTAGAAAAATAGGACATGTTTGTCATTCATGAAGAAAGAAAAAAAGAAATAAATAGTGATAATAAAATTAGCTAATTACAAAATATATATCTCACAATATACATATAAGAATCCAACAAAATCCCCAAATGGATTCCAACAAGACCTATTCCTGAAGAGAGTTTCCCAGTGGTATGCACTGGTTAGATTATTGGTGTTCTGGTCAAGACGTACCCATCCCCGAGAGATTTTTGTTCACCAAAATATCCCTCTCTCTTCTCTACCATATCTGGCAACCAGAGAGATCCACTATCTTTTTATTCAGTTGAGTTGATTTTTAGGTTTTGGAATGGGTGGTGTGGTTGGGATGAGAGAGAGAGAGAGAGAGAGAGAGAGATTGTGCTGGGCAGTGGTGTAGTGGAGGAAGTGGGAATGGTGGGGGCCAGAGGTGAGTGATGGAGGTGGCGACGGTACTAGGTGGTCGGCAGTGGTGGAGGTGGCATGAACATATGTTACACATATGAAATTTAGTAATATGTGATTTGTGGGATAATTTCTGTGGTTGATTTGAGTAGAGAAAACATAGGAGGAGAGGTGGTGGTTGCAGAGAGATGGTGGAAGTTGGCAGGGGCAATTGTATCTTTTGTAATTTTGAGTTGCTTAGGCCAGCCTGATACATACAATAATTATTTTAAAGACGGGTGTCGGTTATATTTCAAAAAGTGTAATCCATAGGTAATAAAGGGAAACATGGGGGTGTCAGAGTAATTCACCCAATTTGTTATTGATAATGGACTAAAATTTGAATTTCACCTTTATTTTGAGAACAGTGATTCCAATATTTACTATGATATTTACTGTATGTTTCATACTAACACCAAAATTGTAAAGCATTCATATAATAGTGGGAGTTATAACACTTGCATTCATATAATAGTGGGTGGTGTAACACTTACATAAAAAAAGACAATCACCGCCGCCACCACCTCTTGCAAATCCATTAAAATTTCCCACGTTTTTACCAAACCCAGAAAATTCCAAACGTCTTTATCAAAGTTGTTGAGTCAAAACCTTAATTCTGTTACTAGCAATGGAATTTGAAAAGCCCTAATCTTGAATTGAAGGTGTTAAAAATCACGAAACAGCCATTGGAGTGGAAGTGGAACTCGGCAACACGCCAACCAATGGAAGCTCTTAATCATCAAACTGGAAATCGAGCTTTAAGATTTTGATAT